GTTCTGCCATCTTTTGGTATTCACTTGTTCTATAGGATGTTCTATCATCTTTTGGTATTCACATGTTCTGCCCGATGTTCTATTATCATTTGATATACATATGTTCTACAAATAAATTTAAAATAACGTAGTAATTACAAATGTGTCTGGTCTGAAGATACAATATATTTTATTTCGTTAGACAAAGACGATAATCCGACCTGGTCAGACTTAACCCGATTATTTGAGTGTCTATCAACTCTCGTGGTTAAGTGTTTAGACAAGATAAGGGATTAGCTTAATCTCTTGCACCTAATGACGAGTGGGCCATTTGTTTTTACCTCTCATGTGGTGCCACGTCGACGCAATAATGTAATGTAAAATACAACTTATGATAAACGTACTGAACCATTGTTATATCAAATTTTAGATTCACATTCGATACAATGTGCAATATTTGTTATGGTAAACATAATAAGCCATTAGAAAGGCACTTATCATTTATGATCAACACATTATGCCATTGTCATTTTAAATGTCAGTTATTATCAACACTGTGTGATGGTAATGTCTGATATCAGTTTTGGTAAAACAAAATATACAATTGTAATGTTAAACATCAGCTATTGTAAAATGTCAGTTATAACTTTTCAACACGCTTTCCCCAATGTAAATTGAATAATTACTTATCAATACGCTATAGCACTGTAAAGTCAGTTATCACTTATCAACACGTTATCACAGTGCTATTTCAATTATCTCTTTTCAACACACTTAACTAAACAAGGTCACCCCTTTAAGACTGCATAATGTGTGGAATTAAATTACAGCATTTGTTTTTTCAATTTATTTTAATCCATCAGTATATGCGAACATTTTAAGACTCTGAGTAGATTATCCAGACGGATTGGGCTCGTTTGACAAATAACTATATATTGGAAATGGGTGTATCACATAATCGGTAATTGTCAAGATGTAGGCTACTTATACTAGCAGAGTCATAGAGCCTTAGGGGTCGGCATGGTCTAGTGGGTAAAGCTCATGGTTACTAAGCCGAAAAGCAGATGAGGCTCTTTAGCTGGGAACAGCCACTCTTCTAGAAGAGGCAACTCCAAAAGCAAACAACTGCTGCCTTGTAGTTTGTTCTTGGTTGGACAAAGGCTAAGGAAGCAAATCCAAAAACAAAAGCAGGCTGAGTCAATGTCCTCAATGGCGCATAACCAGTTGACACGTATCCTTCACTGTGTTGGAGGATATCCCTTCCAACACTAAAATTGAGAACGAAGACGAAGAAGAAGATTCATTCACATGTTTGAACCAAGTTCTGAACACGAGACCTTCGGGTTATCACCCAAACGATCTACCATCAACCATAGTGACCTTATGTTTTGTTCTAGGTACAAAAAAAAAGCTAACGTGTACCGTATGATCGTTAACCGTCGGCCCCAGAGGCGTAGCGAGAGGGGGGGAGGCGGTGGCGACATATGTCCCCGGGCGCCGACCTTAGGGGGCGCCAAAATGGATTGGAAAAACAAATTGAAAGTTTGAAGGGGGGTGCAAATCGAATGTTTAAGTGAAGGGGGGTTGCAAATCGAAAGTCTGAGGGAAGTGCAAATCGAAAGTTTGTCCTCGGGCGCCTGGAAGAGTCGCTACGCCTCTGGTCGGCCCTGACCCGAACAACATGATAATCACACCCTAATCGACCGTTTGCCACTACGGACAGCGTGCTATATAAAATGGACTGGTGGTTAAAGAATGTCATCAAGTTGGCTTGATTTAGAAATGGTGATCCACAATGGGCTGTTATTTCAGGGAATTACTAAGGTTTATTAAAAATAATAATGATAATATTGTTGATTTAAAAGAATAGTTCGTACAATGTTATAATTTTAATTAAATTATAATTATATTTGTGGTTTGACTAAATGAAGTGGGATTGACACTAAAGTATATTTGTTTATGGTCGCTGCTCATTCTTTGGGGTGCAGAGTGAGTTGCGGTATCTTATGGGAACAAGATTAGTAAAAGTGGCCCCTTTTTCGTAATTTGTTATAATGAAAATTAAAATAAAATGGTAAGTTAATTATTTAAAAAAAAAATAACATCATTGAAAGAAGCATTTCGAAACTGAAAAAAATGTTCCCGTCCTACGTATTCATATCTCACCCATGCTTCGATTACTTGGCTACGCCCCTGTTGGAAATAAAATTGATGGCAAATATCAGGACATAGAAACCTATAGGTTAATGATTTCTGCATAGAGTTTAAACTGACGTGGCAAAGTCGGCGTCCATCTTGACCTAGATGACGACGTTGACCTTGACCATCATCTGGTCAAAGATGTCACATACCAGCTGAAGATGTAGACCGACTTGAAAAGAGATGTTCACATACGTGTACACCACAGTCACCGGCACCAGCAGCACCACAAACACCACACACACCGTCAACAACAGCTTGACCACTTTCATCTCCTTGGCTGACTTCTGGTGTAGAATACTGGACATGTTCTTAAATTTCTGTGACGTCACCAGCAGTTTTAAGATGGTCAGTGACGTACACAGTAGGACAAAGGTCAGTGGGACGGTTGAGATGAGACATAGTCTGTAGACGTCAAACACAACCTGTAAGGTCATGGCACTGGCCAATCAGATGATAGAAAAATCATTATTGGATATAATTTTATTTTAATAAAATCCCTGTATGTTTGTTAGTAATCGCGTTAATAATCTCAACGCAAGCTGTTAGCAGTTTAATAGTGCACTTGGTTCGATAAGATGTGTTGAGCTTATGCAAGTACAAAGGTAAAAACACCGCTAATAATCTTTCTATTCAGATTAAATCAACGAGCCGAGAGCTTAAGGTTAAAATCCTTGTAATGAGATAATTCACGGCTGTAAAGTGATTTGATTTTACGAGGTGAAGAACAACTGTCTGATATCAATCACAAATCTCACATTACTGGGTGCTAAAAGATTCATCACAGTAAACAAAAAATATCTAAAGCGGACAGCGAAAAGAGAAAGATGTTCGTTGTGGGATTTAACCCTTGCCAGGCTAGGACAGACATTATGACGGGAAAATCCGAAACCGGCCAGGAAGTAGCAGTGCCGGCGCCGTGTTATTCAGCGCCCTAGGCAAAACTTATTAAAAAACGCCCCCATTCAACTGTTTTAACGTTGTCTGACGATTCAACTGTTTCAGCCGATGTAATTTTTTTTACCTAAACAGACGTATGAGCGCTCAGAACATCGACTGGTGTCAACACTCCGGACCTATTGATCTCAAAGACAGTTACAATTTCAGACTTACCTCGACAGAGATATTTTACTTATATAGACCTCAAAGACAGTGAGAATTTCAGACTTACCTCGACAGAAATGTTTTTATTTTCACCATGCGAGTTTCTTTTTTTTCCTCAATGTCGATGCCAACAGATCTTACATTGGCCATTAAAGCTCACTGAAGATAAGCTGACATACGATCATTCATAATACTCAGAGTTTCTTTCAGGCTTCTCTTCACCCCCCCCCATTAAAAATAGAACAATATATAGTTTGTATTGAAAATATCATCAGTAAGGGAACCAGCGTCGTCCCTACCCCCCCCCCCCCGAATTTTAAAGTGCTCTTTCCTCCCCCCCCCTCGACGGGAGATATGTGTCTAAGAAATACATAACTACGTATTTATTTATGAGGAGAAAGACCATTTGCAGTAATATATTGTAGTCTCTCTTCTATATAATTAGAATTTGTTATCCCGAAACAAATTGAGGCATCATGGATTACTTGCAAATAATGTAGGATATTTAATCTGTTTGAAGAGATATCCCATGGCTTAGTCATCTGTTTTTCTTGTAGTGCAAAGCTAGAGAATATACCTTGGCTTAGTTTCCTCTTTACTCCTTTGTAGTGTACAGTCATAGCAAAGACTTTTTTTTAGCGCGGTGGGGGTGGGGGAGGAGAAGATGAGATGATCTCGCCTGCGGCATGCGATATACTGTAACTTCAATGGTTTTAAAACAATTTTAAGGACATTTTACAATAACGTAACTTTTAAAAGAATTAGGCTAATTGACAATTGTGGTAAGCAGATTATATAGTAGACCTATCATTTTTGCCGTTCGTGCTCAAGATACATGGGGTAAGTGAAACAGAGTGTATCTGTTTAAAAGACCTTCGGCAAACTGTGGGATAGTGAAGTCTGCACTATGCCTTGACGTAGAGGCGTAGAGAGGGGGGGGGGACGGGGTGGGCGGGGGAGGGACATATGTCCCCGGGCGCCGACCTTAGGAGGCGCCAAAATGGGTTGGAAAAACAAATTGAAAGTTTGAGGGGGGGGGGATGTAAATCAAAAGTTCGAGGGGGGTGCAAATCGAAAGTTTAACGGGGGGGGGGGGTTGCAAATCGAAAGTTTGAGGGAGGGGGTGCAAATCGAAAGTTTTAGGGGGGATGCAAATCGAAAGTTTGTCCCCGGGCGCCGGAAAGGGTCGCTACGCCTTGCTTTTCTTAACGTGAGTCAGTTACCCATCTGAGCTGGGTGGACTCAACGACTAGAGGCTGGGATCCGAACTCGAGACTTACAGGCACAGGCTACAAATCGTATGCTCTGTCCAACGACCAAGCTGATGCTATATTATCGGTTATTTCTTTCTTCTTCTTTCTTAATTCCAGTGTTGGAAGGGATTCCCTCCAACACATTTAACTGTTTCATGTCATTGACTCCAATTTCAGCCTGCTTTTGGATTAGCCTGCTTTTCTATTTGGATTTGCTTTCATAGCCTTTGTCCAACCAAAAACAAACTACAAGGTAGCAGTTATTTGATTGTGGAGTTTGTCTCTCTTAGATGAGTTGCTGTCCCCAGCTATCGAGCCTCATCGGCCATAGGGTTCGAACTCGTTATTTTTTCAGTACAGCAACCATGAGCCTAACCAACCTGACCACGCTAACCTCATGTTTAATTACCGGTTAAAACTGCATTTAAAGATATAAACAATAAGAAAAAACAAAAACAGTACAAATTTCCCAAATTAATTTATTAATTAATAAAAATCACATATAATTTTATTATTTATCAAGCATTAGTTAAAAATTATTATCATATCACAGGTTCTGACTTAGACTCATAGTCGCAAACAGACGAGGTCTGCAAACAACGCTGTACAGAGTCAAGACAGTTTAAGTCAACAGACAACTTGTTCTTGTACACAAAATAACAGTAGACATCCATATATACAGTACACATGTTACAAGTAGTAAGATAGGACCTCATACCCTGAGGAATGGTGTAAGGGACATAATTATGGTTAAAAGAGTTTGAGCAACAAGGCATTATGATGAATGATTTGGCACTTAGAAATATTGTAAAGAGTGGCTAGAGAATACGAATGTCAGATATTAATTATAGAGAAATAGCTTATATTACATCATTATTTAGCATTAAATTCATATTATGGTTGAATCATGAATGTTTAGATTACAATAATTTAAATCAAATTTACATAATTATTTGGCTTTCAAATTTATAACAAGTTGTAAAAAAACCCAGTAAAAATCAGTGAAAATTATTGGTATAAAATAAATAAATGTATGAATATAAATGTGGTATATCATTTTTCCAATAGATATAAGCATGTGTTAGGGTTTAATCTAAACTATATCAATAAATAACATTTGGATCAAGAATTTAAAACAAAGTTTTTAAATAAACAGAAGTGTTACAATGGTAGGTTTTGAGACAGATGAATACAATAACGGAATGTTTTTACTTTCTCAAACAATGACTGACCATTTACTGTAATAACATCACAGGCTTTATACTTTATACCACTGTGCTTGTCCTATTAATACTTTCACTTCTGAGTTATGTTGTTCAGAAACAGTTAACAGCAGTGTCTATAACTAAGCTGTTGATACCCCAATTTTCTCTAAAGAAGGTGTAGAGCCATCTGTCCCGTTTCCTGTCAATGCTTTCTCATCTTCATTGTTCTCCTGTTTTCTTTCCTTCTTTTTCTTTCTTGATCTTCTCCTTTGATCTCTGTAAGTAAACACAGTAATGTTGTATTTAAAAGTTAATAAACAATGAAAGATATATTGGATACAGAGGCGTAGCGAGGGGGGTGCGGGGGGTGCGGACCGCACCGGGTGACACCATTTAGGGGGGTGACACCAAGGCAAAAAATAGCAAAATATATAGAAAAAAATTTGAGGGGGGGTGCAAATCGAAAGTTTGAGGGGGGGTGCAAATCGAAAGTTTGAGGGAGGTGCAAATCGAAAATTGAAAGTTTGTCCCCGGGAAGGGTCGCTACGCCTCTGGGGGGGGGGGGGGGGTGACACCATTAAGTGCCGCACCGGGTGACACCCGACCTCGATACGCCACTGATTGGATATATAATGAATCGTTGATTTTGAGAATGATATAGATGTCACTAAAGTAAAAAAGAAAAATATCATCTATTACACGTTTATACTTGCAAAAAGTATATTATAAATATCTAGATAAAAGCTTGCAAAAAGTTAATGCTGTATAAAAATATTTATTCCACCAAAAATGTATACTTCTTGCTGCATGCATTTTTTATCTAGACTTGTATAGTATACATGTCGCAAGTGTAAACGCAGTGTAAAAAGTATGCAGTGCTATGGATTTTGTGAATAATACATAAAACATAACAATTAGCACAGAAAAAAGTGCAGAAAAAATGCTCTAAAAATAAACAGAAAAAAAGCATTTAAAAAAACAATGGCACACTGTGGATTCATGGATGATATGAAGACTCTTAAAGTAAACAGAAAAAAGCATTTTAAAAAATGGCACATGGTTTATTTTATGACGAGATGAAGTCTCGTAAACTAAACAGAAAAGAAAGAATGTCCTGCTATGGCTTATAAAACTGTGTTTTAATGAGAATGTTAGCAGAAGATGAGATTTACCTGTAGAACTTCTCAGTTGCTTTTTCTCCAACTGGGTCAAATGGGGGCAGGTGATGTGGCTTAGCTCCGTCTGGAGCTGGCACAGAGCTGGTTGAGGAAAAAAGTAGCATCAACACTTGCCGTTTGATAGCAGCTTAACATAATAAGTTTGTTAGCTCACTAATACTTATTTTAATTTGGTACAGCTTACACATTTCATAATTCAGTCAAACAAAAAACTTGTACCATTTATGAATAAAAATATTTAAGATTTAACTATTTTAAACGTATAAACAGAATTAATTTTCAGCAACATTTAATTTATGAACTGAAAACATTTGTGTTGTGTGATATTAAGGGCAAGGACAGAAATAATGTATATCAACTAACAGTTCGAGTAAAGATCTTTGCAGATATCAATTAACAAATAATTATGATTAGGGGTCATACATAAGCAATGTCACCCAATTTTTTACAATTTTCCACTTCCCATTCCACTCTGTTACACACTGTCACAAAAGGCCTTACCCCCCCCCCCCTCCCCACCCCCCTCTCTAAAATGACATTACAATTCAGCCTACAGCCCCCTACAAAACTGTTATTTTTTTTAAATTTAAACATTTCTTCCTAAAATATTAATTGAGTATGGTTAACATAGAGTATAAATTAAAGCAAAATTAAAGCAAAATAAAAGCAAAATTAATGATAAAATTCAGGATTTAACCTTACTTTTTAAAAATGCAATTGCACGAAATTACACTATCTTACACCCACCCACCCCCTCCCCCTCATCCTAAAACTATGGCTGACCCCTTAGAAAAACTTGTGAATATTATCAACTTACATGATGACATTAGGTTTCACAGGAGGCATAGGAGGCAATCTTCTTGGTGTAACAGGTACGTCATCATTTATACTTATTTTTGGATCAGAAGCAAATATAGGATTGGAGAGCCTGGTGTAGCAAAAGAAAGTAAACATCAGCAATGATATTTTAAGCTGTCTGTAGATATAAGGTTTGTAGTTACTTTTGCTCATACATAGTTCTATATTTTAATAAACAAACTAACAAGAATCTTATCAAACATGAAATCCAGAACAACCATCAACAGTTCAGAAAAATTATTTATCAGGTAGATATATCACAGTAACATAAAAATGTGAGTGTGTACCTGTAATCTTTTAAAATAAATAACAGAGCCATCTTGCTTAGAATATTTTTAAATATAATAATACAGTAAGAATTCAGAAACATATTTTACATACGCTGCTTTCATTGGAGGAGCAGATCCATTGACTGGAGCAACTTTTCCACTTTCTTTCTTCTTACAACATTTAGCAAAAACCCCTTTTGAGTAAAAGGAATTTAAAGTCTTGAAACTATTTTGTTTAAGCTTTAAGCAAACATGTTGAAATAAAAATTTTAGTTTTAAAAAAAAAATTATTATTGGGTATAAAGTATTCAAAATATTATAATACTGAAAAAAACTACAAATCTCAATGCTTTAACTTTGCATACCATATTTTCAACCAAAATGTAAATAGTTTTTATTATAAACAATGTGGGCTAAAACTTTCAAGGATTAAAATTAGTCAGTGGTAAAATATTTCAATGTAAAAAGTAAAGTTATTATGATGATATAGCCTATACACTGAAACCATTTTAGAATGAAATAAAACATTATTTTATAGTATGAGAATTAGTTATTTTATATATGCATTAACCTTTCTACTTTATTAATGACAAGATACGTCTACATTAAATGGAGTTCATCTGCGCTGTTGTCAAATTCACAAGTTACAGAACAAACATTTAAATTTACATTTTCTCGTGTGGTGATAATAATCCTTGTGGTTCTAGCTAATGATTAAAAGCTAGCTTTAATAAAATGTGATTCTTACCTTGTAAACAGCAGAATATAAGCAGCAGGATTATTATGATTAGGAGAATTACGATAATAATCACAATAAGAATAATGGTAGCAGTACTCAGTCCGGAACTTCCAGTGCTGCTTCCTATAGTGGAGGAAAATGAAAAGTATAAGGGAAAAAACAATGAATATGTACAATAATGTAACGTAAATGTTAACACAAAACTACTTTAAGAAACAAAACTACTGATGTTTAAAAGGCACGCTATTAAACGATACACCAAATTTAATCCTTTTGTACTCAGCATCTGTTTCATTAGTCCTGATGTATTCTCTTACCTGTTGCTGTAAACAAGCAGAAAGAAAATATTACATTATAATACAAATAAAAATAAAATATGATGTGGGTATTACAATAATTTGAAAAAAAAAATCATTAAAAAATATTAAAAAGTAGGATGGGATTTAAAGAGTACTAATGCTAGGAGAGCTCAACCAATGAGTTTAACTCGAGAAATACCTAATTAAAAAAAAGTTAGTGGCTATGAGGGGCAAGTTGTAGAGTGCTTGACTAATAACCCTAAAGTTTCTAGTTCAGATCCCAAGCTTGCCTGGTTCTGATGTTAGTGAAAGTAAAGACTGCTGGGCATTGAACCGACAATGCTATCCCAAGATAAGTGTATGTCTTTGAACCAGTTCAACCTTACCTGCCCTATTGATAATTACATCTGAAAGGGTGCTTTAACTGTTTACTAAGTATGAGACAGAGGATAATTTTTTTCAACTTACTTCCTTTATTGGTCACAGTAAAGGTGCGAGCAGGGTTCAAACCTCCTAGTGAATTGTTTGCACTGCATGAGTATACACCATAATCTGTAACACAAAGTAGTCACATGAGTATTGTTGAATGATGGTTTGATATAGTCTCTTTATGCTAAAAAGTATTTTTTCCTATTGCAATCTATTACTCTAATGGAAAATACAATGACACTTGAATTACTCATCTCAGTTTCTTAGGTTTGAATCACTTTATTGATGGCTTATAAATATTAACTAAGTTGACTTATTATTCTATCTATCTGTATTATATACAGTTTGCAATGTGTATATATGATTGAAAATCATTTTTAAAAACCCAATATGTGTGTAAAATTGATGGAAAAGGAAGCACTAAAAACAAAATGTCTTCTTGTATAAGCTAACACTAATAAAACATAATAATATGCAGATTAAACTATTTGCTTACTTAAAAAAAAATAATAAAGGTATAAATAAATTTGTTGCAAAAGCACATGGTGTCAAATTGAAAAAAAAAATTGTATTGTTACCAGAAGCTGAAGTAATCCGCAATGTTATTGTCTTCTGTGTGTACTGTGGCATCAGGTTAGTTCCATTAAACCAAGAATAAGACGTTGGCTCAGGGTTCGCAACAACAGTACATTCTAAAGTCAAATCAGCAGGCACATTTGTCTGTACCGTCTCCTCCCCTGTCCCAGATTGCTGTGGGTTAACTTTGAGAAAATAGGGAAAACTTGTTAAATGTATTTCAAGTATATACAGAGGAAATTATTATCATTTAAAAAATTTAAAAAACCCACGTTTTCTGATTGTTTTTATCAAATTACAATTACTAGGTTATGTCCCTTTTTTGTACAAGTCAATGGGAGTCTAAAATGATCAATAAAATTTTTCCATGGATCAATTTCGTAATAATAATAATTGAATATTGTATTGTCATCGGAAACAAAGCTTCCCTGAAAATTTCAGCGCGCTAGGTAACTGGAAAGTGCCCGAAATTTTGATCGCAAGATTTGAAGGAAAGACAAAGAAACAAACAGACGCGAAAGCAAGTTAAAGAAAGCGTGGGAAAATACCTTATACTGTGGTATTTTTGACAAATAATAATAACAAGTAAGAAACATTTTAACTGTTTTAATAACTCAATAAACTAAAATAAAATATGTTAACAATAAGTGCTGGTGGTCTGGCTAATTAACCTTAAAATCTTACATGTAATATTAGGTTTGATGGTGGCTGACGATGTCCCTTCTGTATTAGTAGCACTGCACCTGTAAATTACAAATCAGTTTTTTTAAATTTGATTTCTTTTGGATGAAGATAAAAGCACTTGTAAAATTTTTCTCAGCCACATTTTAAACACTGGTTATTTGTAATTAGATTTCTTTCTGCTTTAAAAATAGACATTTTAAAAATATCAATTAGGATGGAATAGGTACATGTACATTGTGACCAGTAAGATACGCAAAGGAAACTGCACAACAAAAAACTATGCAAATGGATTTTTTTTTGTTTTGTTAAATTGAGGATTTTTAGAGATTAATATAGAATGACCATATGTAGATTCAGGGGGAGGGGGGGGGGTGGACTGCACCGGGTGACACCATTTAGGGGGGTGACACCAAGGCAAAAAATAGCAAAATATATAGAGAAAAACTTGAGGGGGGTGCAAATCGAAAGTTAGAGGGGGGGGGGGTGCAAATCAAAAACTTGAGGGGGGAGGGTGCAAATCAAAAACATGAGGGGAGGGGGGTGCAAATCGAAAGTTTGAGGGGGGGTGCAAATCGAAAACTTGAAAATTTGTCCCCGGGAAGGGTCGCAACGCCTCTGGGGGGGTGACACCATTAAGTGCCGCACCGGGTGACACCCGACCTCGCTACGCCACTGTGTAGATTGTAGCATAATAAAACACTTTTCTACAATGTGACATGATTGAAGTGTACTGGTATAATTAGTTTGTATTTGCACATTTTACACATTTCCGTTGAGCTGTTTTCCATTTGCTCATTTTTTAAAATCTATTGTATCCAGTGTAATGTTTCAGTTACATACACTTTATGATGTTACAAAACTTTTACAGTTAAGTTAGTAAAAAAATCAAGCCATCAATCCCCCTATTATGTCCAGACTTTGAAACAATTTAAATAACAGTAAATTAAATCGCTGTACTAAATTATTTCAAGAGAAACAATAACTTTACTAAGTAAATAAAATCACTAAAAACAAATTCTTTAAATAAAAACATTAATTTGTACCTAAGTAGCCTAAATTAAATCACTATAAAAAAGACTTGAATGAAAATCATAAATTTATAGCCAGGTAAATTAAATGACTGAAAATAAACTTAAAAAAATGACTTCAATAGAATCATAAATTTGTACCTATACTCCATATAGTCTGTGTAAGTGGCATTCCTTATAACATAGGTTGATGTGGTACTGACTTCTGTTTCTACTGTTTCTATTTTGCTCCATGAGACTCTACTGGCAGCAGGGTAGGCAGTAACTGTACACAATAGGTCCATTCTTTGTCCAACAACAACGCTAGTTGGAGATGTTCTAACTTCCACAGTTGGCTTATCTAAATACAATAAAAATATATTATTTCAACATCCTATTATGATGAAAAATATGTGCATTTATAAGAGACAAATGAAAAGTTATAATAATTTTGTTTTGTTATAATGATGTTTTACATTCACCAAACCATAGAAAAACTGATTTCATTGATACTGGTTGGAAGCGATAGGAAAGGAATAAGTAAAAACAAGAATTGTAGCAATACTTCATACCTAAGTTGCAAAACAAATAATTTATTTGATGCAGACAGGGATGGAAGAATAAATGAAAAAAGTATTGAATAATCATTGTAGTATCACAATGCAAGAATTATTTTCAATTCATGCATTGTGATAGATGATGTAAATAATAGTATTTGGATTTATTTTTAGTGAAACTTCAACATCAGTTACTAATTACTAATCAAATTAATCATTTTAAAATGGTTTTCTGATATAAAAAAGCAAACTTGTTATAGAAGTTATTTTTATCAACAGAAAAATTAACTACAGCAGTCTTATCTTTGTATGATTTAATGAGGTGATTAAATGAAAGGAAAGTCATAAAGCTGAACTGACATTTTACTGTGATGATTGTTCTGACACTTAACTGTAATTATTGTACTCATATTTAACTATAATGATTGTACTCACACTTAATGATTGTACTCACATTTAACTGTAATGATTGTACTCACATTTAACTGTAATGATTGTACTCACATTTAACTGTAATGATTGTACTCACATTTAACTGTAATGATTGTACTTACATTTAACTGGAATGATTGTACTCACATTTAACTGTAATGATTGTACTCACATTTAACTGGAATGATTGTACTCACATTTAACTGGAATGATTGTACTCACATTTAATGATTGTACTCACATTTAACTGTAATGATTGTACTCACATTTAATGATTGTACTCACATTTAATGATTGTACTCACATTTAACTGTAATGATTGTACTCACATTTAACTGGAATGATTGTACTCACATTTAATGATTGTACTCACATTTAACTGTAATGATTGTACTCACATTTAACTGTAATGATTGTACTCACATTTAACTGTAATGATTGTACTCACATTTAATTATTGTACTCACATTTAACTGTAATGATTGTACTCACATTTAATGATTGTACTCACATTTAACTGTAATCATTGTACTCACATTTAACTGTAATGATTGTACTCACATTTAACTGTAATGATTGAAGTCGGGCCTGTGGTGTTGCCCAGTGTGTTACCAGCCACACACCTGTAGCTACCAGCATCAGATGGTGCCACGCCAGCAATCTTTAAGTCAGGATTTGTTACATTCCCACCACTTAGAACAAATAACATAATACTTGTTAATTACCTTGCTGAAAATTATATCATGCCATGTAAAAGAAATAACATAATACTTGTTATAATTACCTCGCTGAAAATCACATAATGCCACTTAAAAAATACTGTAATTAACTTACTGAATGCTAACTTTTTAATTACTGTACTGTAAGACCTTAATATTAGGGCCACTAAAGTAAAACTATAAGGCTATCTAAAATCTGTGACATTAAATCTTGTAATAGATCTAACTGATCTCTCTTATACTGGCATAACTGTCTTGAACAGTTATCATTAACCAGGCAGTGGGCAACAGGGTTAAGAGTCAAGTATTTCTCACACCCATATTGAAAGCCACTTGACCCATGGGGCACTTCCAGACACTCCCCTGGTGCATCACACCACATAGATTTGATATTACAAACAGTTAAATTAAAGGGAATCCTATGTCTGAAGAGCGGATCTTAAACCTGTGACTTTTAGGTTACCAAGGACATGTTCTACCACTAGACCACATCAGGAAACAAACGATTATTTAAAGCTAGTGTGTTTGTACTGGAACTGTATGTGAAATATCAAGAGGTGTAAGACAGACTAGGATAAAATTGTATTAAATATCATTGCATAGTCCATGTGTCTGGCATTAAAACACATATTTTATAGTCTTGTTAATTTAGATTTAAATCTCATATTTATAGACTGGTTAATTTGACTCTAAATCTCATATTTTATAAACAGGGTTAATTTAAATTTTTACGTTATACTTAAAGACTGTTAATTTAGTTTTAATTCTTATGTTTTATAGATTGGGTTAATTAAGTTTTAAATCTCATATTTTATAGTCTGTATTAATATAGTTTAAAATCTTATATTTGTTAGACTGGGTTATTTTCAGTAGCGTAGCGAGGGGGGGGCGGGGGGGGACATATGTCCCCGGGCGCCGAGCTTAGGGGGCGCCAAAATGGGTTGGAAAAATAAATTGAAAGTTTGAGGAGGGGTTGCAAATCAAAATCTCGAAGGGGGGGGGGGGGGGTGCAAATCGAAAAGTTTGTCCCCGGGCGCCGGGAAGGGTCGCTACGCCTCTGGTTATTTTAGCTTTAAATCTTATATTTTACAGACGGGTTTAATTTAGTTTTAAATCTCATTGAAAAAATCCTGCGAGTCGTGTCCACCTACCTTAGTCGAGCATCATAAACCACAGCGGCAGATACTCCATTGACTGTTTTTGTCCAGCTGAGCGAGGTAATGGAGGGGTTAGCATCCACAGTACACACGAGAGAGATTGTTGCTCCAGATGTTGTCTCGGTGGAGGAGTTACCAGACACCTTAGGGGGATCTGGGGACGGATAGTGTTAGAGACATGGAAAAAATAAGATAGTGTTAGAGACATGAAATAAACAAGATAGTGTTAGGAAAAAATAAGATAGTGTTAGGAAAAAATAAGATAGTATTAGGAAAAAATAAGATAGTGTTAGAGACATGGAAAAAATAAGATAGTGTTAGAGACATGGATAAAATAAGATAGTGTTAGAGACATGGAAAAAATAAGATAGTGTTAGAGACATGGAAAAAATAAGATAGTGTTAGAGACATGGAAAAAATAAGATAGTGTTAGAGACATGGAAAAAATAAGATAGTGTAAGGAAAAAATAAGATAGTGTTAGAGACATGGAAAAGAGAAGATAGTGTTAGAGACATGGAAAAAAAATAAGATAGTGTTAGAGACATGGAAAAAATAAGATAGTGTAAGGAAAAAATAAGATAGTGTTAGAGACATGGAAAAGAGAAGATAGTGTTAGAGACATGGAAAAAAAATAAGATAGTGTTAGAGACATGGGATAAATAAGATAGTGTTAGAGACATGGAAAAAATAAGATAGTGTTAGAGACATGGAAAAGAGAAGATAGTGTAAGGAAAAAATAAGATAGTGTTAGAGACATGGAAAAAATAAGATAGTGTTAGAGACATGGAAAAAATAAGATAGTGTAAGGAAAAAATAAGATAGTGTTAGAGACATGGAAAAGAGAAGATAGTGTTAGAGACATGGAAAAAAAATAAGATAGTGTTAGAGACATGGAAAAAATAAGATAGTGTTAGAGACATGGAAAAAATAAGATAGTGTAAGGAAAAAATAAGATAGTGTTAGAGACATGGAAAAAATAAGATAGTGTTAAAGACATGGAAAAAATAAGATAGTGTTGGGAAAAAATAAGGTAGTGTTAGAGACATGGAAAAGAGAAGATAGTGTTAGAGACATGGAAAAAATAAGTTATTGTTAGAGACATGAAATAAACAAGATAGTGTTAGGAAACAAGCAAGATAGTGTTAGTGTAAGAACAGTTAGAGCTATGGAATAAACAAGATAGTGTTAGAGAAATACATAAAACAAGATAGTTTTAGAAACATGGCAAAAACAAGATGGTGTTAGAGACATGGGGTCGTCCATAAATGACGTCACACTAATAGGGGGGGTCCGTAATTTTGTGACAGTATGTGATGAGGGGGGAGATGGGGTTCAGATGGTGGGACGTCACACTTTCGCATTATAAAAAAGCAATGTTAGAAAACGAATTTTAGACGTTATTTCGCGTTTTAGAAAACTGTTTTGATAAATTGTAATAGGAATTGATCAAAGTACTCTAAGTGGACAGAGTTCTGACAAGATTTTGGAAAAACATTGACGTTTTTAAAAAAAATTTAACTGCAATTTTGGGGGGGGGGGTTGTAGGCTCAGGTGTGATGTCATTTTAAGTGGGGGGTTGGGGGGGGGGGTCTGGCTTTTTGTGACAATGTGTGACGGAGGGGGGGAGGTAAAAATCGTCAAAAATAGTGTGACGTCATTTATGGATGACCCCCATGGAAAAAACAAGATGGTGTTAGAGACATGGAAAAAATGAAACAGTAAAAAAAAGGTAGTGTTAAAAAAAACAGTAATCAAAGATAGCATGGTACATACAAATGACTGAGACTGTGATTGTTGGACTGTCCACTGTTTTAGATCCATTGGTGGCCTGTAGTTTGTATGTGCCAGAATCACTCTTTGAAGCATTTAGAACAGTTAAGGATGAACTGTTCAGTATACCTCCTGTATATTTGTTTCTATTTGCATCTAGATTAATTTGTTGACCATCCTAATTATTTTTGGATTAAAAAAAAATTTAAATTTCTTTTTTATATTTTCAGTTTATATTTAAATAATATTTAAATATTATTTTGTAAACACTTGTATAGCAAGTTATGATTATACAAATAACAATTTTAAACTTAACAAAACAAAGCATAACACAACATACCAATTTCTAAAAGTAATTAGGAACGCCGTTGATGATGCTGACATGTGATTTTACAACACACTATAGCATTTAATGATATATTCTGATTATATTTTACTACTTGACAAATATCTTTTACCTTGAACCATGTGACACCAGCTGTTGATGGATAAATCTTCACTTCGTTTATAAATATTGTGAATGGTTTTCCTTCTTCTGCTGTGATGCTTGTTTGGTTAACAGATATGTAAGGATCATCTGTTAACAAAAAAAAATGCATTTCAGCAAAAAATATAATTTTAAATATTTTAGTACAAATATTAGCTTCAGTTCAAAATATAGGATTATAGAATTTGTTCCAGTTTTATTTAGTAGAAATTACTATTTAAGTTTCAAAACTAATTCATAGAACTTAAAGTTGGCTAAAGTCAAATGTTAAAAGTTAAAAATTATTTAGTTTTTAGTTGCTACAGACTTAAGAATAACATTGTTAAATAAAGAATGTCTCGATGACAAAAAATACAAAAGTCAAAATGGAAATTCAACATAAATGATAATGCAAATGAGATTACACTACAAGGTGATAAATAAAACCCATCAAATTGGTTACAGCTAGATTTTGTTAAAAAAATCACAAAACAGTTCACAAATAGTGCAAATGTGAGTACAGTGGCAACAAAATTCTAAGTATAAACATTAACTACAGTTATATTAGTAATGAACACATTGTTTTCTATATAAAAACATGCTTAACAGAAATTGTTAATGGTTACATAGATTCTATTTTTAAATATGAACATACCATCTAAAAAAAAGTAGATAATCTATGTTAAAATTATAAATTCACATAAACAATGTGATTTTAACAAAAGAGAAGTCCTGAAAATTAGAGACAATGATTATTATAATTTTAAAAAATTATGATAAAATGTTTTTTAAAAATTATGGTAAATGTAATTAATGATGGAAAAACATCACCTAGAAAGGGAAAGACTTATATTATTTGCTAAGAATTGAAAATTTAATCATGTATTAAAAGTGTATTAATTATCAGCAATATGTCAAGATGTTTTTTAACTATGCTGTAAAAAAAGACGTAAAATATAAATATATGCATTATGATATACCTGTAAACATTTGAAAAAACAATCTGTTGTTAAATATTTAAGTTACAATTAATTGTAATTTGCATTGAATTACATTTTCAAATATTTTGGACAACATTAAAACCATCATTTGAATAACATTTTACTGATAGCTTGGTATTGGTCTATAATTGATGTGTTTTGAACAGATTTATTTTATGTATTGACTCGTCTAAATCAACCATTACGACATAAATACGAAATTGTAAAAAGTAATGTAGGGTGTTACTTAAAGATGTGTGTAGAAATGTGCCAAGTCTGTTTCTTGCCATTTATTAACTAAAGGCTTATTTTAAGGTAATTGTAAAATACATCAGTGTACTGATAGTGAAGGGGTTTTACACTACTGTCTGTACAGTTGAAAATTTGTTCTTTTGTTTGTTAAGCTGGGTATATTTAGCAGGATTATAAGGAAATAATTAAACTTTGAATACTAGCTTTATAAAATTGTTCTACTTTTTCACTGAAACATAACTGTTTACTTGAATGTCCATCACATATGTAAATAGGAGAAATACCTTAGAAGACATAATGTCTGAGTTAAACTCCCATTTTGTTGTTTGTGTACATTAAATACAGTATAAACAGAGCAACAGTTTACCTGTTTTTTTTTTATTACAAACCTTTGAATCCTCTCAACCGCATTGATAAGTTGAAATGTTATTACATTTCTGTATTGCAAATTTTAGGAGGAATGTTATCAAAATTATTCCAAGAAATCTAAATTGCTAAAATAAAAGAAAAGAAGCATCATTTCTAGTTTGCAAATAAAAAAGATGAACTATGAAACAAAGAAGATGGTGTGCCTAAAATTAGTGTTACAATTTTTTTTAAATTGCTAAAAGACTTCTAAGAAGTTATAAAGGTGTAAATACCTGAACTGTTGAAACAAAAACTTAAATATGAAACTTTAGTTTTAATTAGCTGTTGCATTTGATTTTTAAGAAATGTTAATGAAGTGTTGAATGTCACATTCAAGAAGCGCCTACATGAGTAGAATGCTCTATTTTTTTCTGAGTGATTTTTCATTCTATAGCAACAGCTTCTGCTAAGATCAAAATGTTAGTAGATATTTTACAACTAATCTCCAGTAGATGAGAAAAAGCTTAACATAAGAGTAAAAAAAATAAGAATAAGTTATGTTTTATTTATTAAATTATTATTCAAAAACCTCTAATAAAACCCCTATTGTACAGCTTACTTTAAAATTATTTATCTGATAATTAAATTACTCAATTAAATTTTAGAATGCAAATTTTAAATAGGCTACAACAAAATTATTTGTCAAATGCTTTCAAAACTAAGGCATTAATATTTTTACTCTGCATTTTCGATTAAAATATCATATTTCTAATAGAATAAGTGAACTTTAATATTTGGGAAATAAATTTGCATTAATTATCAACAAAAAAACTAAAGGGTGTTTTGGTTTTATAATGCTATACTTGAATAGCATTGGTTATATTTATATAACATATTTTAGCTAAAATAAGGAAAACCTTATTTATTTAATTAAAATTTGCCTATAAATAAAAACAAGCTTTGTAATTTTTTTTTTATTTTAAAGAATAAGCTTATTTTAAAATTATTTATTTACTGATTCTAAAACATAAATGTAGTATTTAACTAAGCTCACATGTGATGGTAAGGTTAACAGCTGGACTGGTGGTGTTTCCCACAGAATTTCTAGCCACACATTTGTAGCTGCCCACGTCTGTAGTCTTGTTAAGTTTGATGATGGTCAGGTCAGGGACCGAGACAGTCCCTCCAAAATATTTATTTGGATTCTGTGTCGTATTGATGGGCACCTCGTCTTTGGTCCAGTACAAGCTAGTGAGGGGAGGGTAGGATGCGACGCTGCAGGTCAGCGTGACATTTTTGTCATCAGCTGCTTGGACAGAGCCAGGGCCACCAGAGATGGTTGGCTGAACTGAAAGTTAAGACAAAAAAATTTCAGCTTAGAGCTTAAATGTAGGGTGTCAACAATAAATTGAATAGATCTAAAACAACTAAAATTAAAGTTTTCAGACTTTAGTGACAATGTGCTATGTAGAATAATCACATATGAACTAGAATTTATTTTACATATTTTCAAGACATAAATAATTTTAAAAATGTTAATATTTATTAGAACTAAGTTTATTAGTGGGAAGGAGGGTCAAAATTTGTAATATCATTTTCAGGTATGGGAAGGTGAGAGGGGGGAAGGGAATCAGGTCTGTGACAATGTATTGTTGGAATGTGAGGTTATGAGTTTATTGAGTTTATTATGGTATTATAATATATATATATATATATATAGGCCTATATATAAATATATATATATATATATATATATATATATATATATATATATATATATATATATATATATATATATATATATATATATATTTAATTCTTGACTGTACTATGAAGAGCAAATAATATAAGCAGCAGTTAGTGTTGTTTTGTTGTCTGAAGTTGATTCCTCACTTACAAGTGACATTGAGTTGAACCCCCTGACTTACAAGTGACATTGAGTTAAGCCCCCTGACTTACATGTGACATTGAGTTAAGCCCCCTGACTTACATGTGACATTGAGTTAAGCCCCCTGACTTACAAGTGACATTGAGTTGAGCGCCCGCACTTTGTCCAGAACCGTTGTCATTTGTTGCTTGGCAAACATACACCCCTGCGTCATAGCGGGTTAAATTTTTAATGGTCAGGTTAGGTTGGCTGATTACACCTCCAGAGTACTTGGATGACTGCCCAGTCAGGTTCATGACTGCGCCATCTTTCTGCCAGGTCAGGTTTTTTATAGCTGGAATGGCTAGCACCGTGCAGGAGAGGACAAATTCAGGTGTTCCTTCTGGCTTCGTGTCCGATGTAGGGGATACAGTTACTTGCGGACTACCTGCAACACATTGGTTGGTGTTAACATTTTTAGACTGAAACTAGTTCAATTTGAGAGATTAGTTAAAATAGTTGAGCTAGACTGCTAACCCATGAGTCTTGTGCTCGAATCCGGGTTCAAATCAGTAGAACGTCCTTGAGTCCACCCAGTTCTGATGGGTACCTAACTTACATAAGGGAAACAAAGGTGGCTAGGCATAGTGCTGACCACACTATCCCTTCATATGCTGAGGACTATGAATCAGATGAACTACTACTGGATTTGCCCCATGTGTGTTGGGCAATAACAGGATTAAAAAGAAGTTAAAATAGTTAAGGGACGGAGTGGCCTAGCGGTAGAGAGTTGGACTGCTAACCCGTAAGTCTCGAGTTCGAATCCGGGTTCAAGTCAGTAGACCGTCCCTGAGTCCACCCAACTCTGATGGGTACCTAACTTTTGTTAGGGAAAGTAAAGGCGGCTGGGCATAGTGCTGACCACACTATCTCTTCATATGCCAAGGTCACAGAAACAAGTGAACTCTACTTCACTTGCCCTATTGACCGTCTGGTTTGTAAAGGGAACTTTACTTTTACTTTTAAAAAAGTTATACAAGCTCTCTGGGTACTTAGTAAATGTCTATTGGGTAAAATTGTTGAAGCTGAGGTGGAGTGAATGCCAATAGGCAACAGAATATAGTCACATGATCAGTGTATTTTTTAGTAAAATATTCCTGTCCCCCCCCCCCCCCCCTCCCTAAACAATTTTCATACTGAATGTAATATAGTTTTTTTTTGTTTATCTTTTGATCAATGAAAGTGTTTACCAGATTCTAAAAAATTGGAATGTATTGTTGTAATAGATTGAAATAATTGTGAGGTCAAGGGAACTCACTCTTCTGTATTAGTTATATTTATAATATTGTTATCTTGAGTGATGTCCCTTGTGTACGTCCTCTTCAGTCCTCTCTGTGTGTTACCATCGTGGTAGTTAGACCCATTAAATGTGTTATATACAACCACAGGCTTCTGTCGTCAATCTATTATAACTGGCGACGAAGGATAAACATCTACTAGAAAGAGCACCTACTTACGCAAAAAAGAGGTTTGCTAGAGCTTATTAGCTAATTATTTCTAGAATTATGGCGCTGTATGGCCAAATAAAAGAATTTGATGCGAATGATGAAATCATTCAAGATTACCTAGAGAGGTTAAGCTTTTACCTAGAAGCTAACGACGTGACGATAGAAGCCAAAAAGAGAGCTGTTTTGTTAACAGTCATAGGGCCTCAACAATTTAGGCTACTAAAAGACTTATGCGCACCAGCTAGTTTAACTACCAAGAGCTTTAACGAGCTGAGCAAATTGCTAACAGACCACCATGCGCCTACCCCATCAAAGTTTTTATGTAGAAGCTAGATTTGACAGTAGGACTCGTCAACCAAACGAGTCAATATCAGAATATGTTGCTGCTTTACGTCATTTAAGTGAATTTTGTGAATTCGGAGACACGCTGTCTGACAGATTATGTGAAAAGTTTGTGACAGGTGTAAACAGTCCTGATATTCAAAGAAAGTTGCTGCTCGAGTCAGATCTAACATTAGAAAAAGCAATACAACTTGCAATGTCATTCCAGCGGTCATCAGATGCGGCGAGATCTTTAGCACCTTCAGAGATCCATGCAGTAAACAGCAGGTTAGTCAATAAACATCAACCCCATCAGAGCATTCCAACTTATGCTAAACAGCCTGCTCGTTCAAATCCTAGATCTAAATCTAGTAATAATTATCAAAAATGTCATCGATGCAAAGGTCCCCATGCATCTCATCGGTGCAAGTTCAAGTCTGCAACTTGTTATAAGTGCAGTGAGCAAGGTCACATTGCCAAGGCCTGCTTTGCAAAGTCTTCGTCTGTTGCTAAATCTAGCCAGTCAAGACAGTACCGCAACCAAAGGCAGCACTATGTTAACTCTCACCAAGACTACCTAACCCAACCAATGAACCACTCTACCAGTGAAAATGCTCAAACTGATTCGCAGCCGGATTTCAACCTATTCTCTGTGAAATCAATAAGTCATGCTCCCATCAATGTACCAGTTTATATCAACGGTAAGAGCATCAGCTTCCAACTGGACACTGGAGCATCTCTAACAGTCATAACAAAGAAAGATTTTGACGCTGTCATAGGAGGATCAGTGCCTCTACAGCCATGTCACAAGTGTCTAACAACATACACTGGTGACAATGTTCCGGTAATAGGAGAGTGTATGGTTCATGTAAGTTATAATGGTCAAAGTGTTAAACTTCCTCTTCTTGTGGTTGAAGGAAATGGACCGCCATTACTAGGTAGGAACTGGTTAAGTGATCTTAAGTTAAATTGGGAGAGTATTTGTTCATTGAACAATGGAAAAGAATCTAGTCTTACTTCACTAGATAAAGTAATATCTGAAAATAAAAGTGTTTTTGGCAATTCAGGTTTACTAAATGATAGAACAGTGAAGTTAAGCATTAAAGATACAAATCCAAGATACTGCAAAGCTAGAGTTCCACCTTATGCAATGAGGAATAAAATTGAAAATGAGCTAAGTAGATTGGAATCTAATGGCATTATAAAGAAGGTAGACTATTCCGATTGGGCGACACCCATTGTGCCAGTGTTAAGGAAGGATGGTTCTATAAGAATTTGTGGAGATTATAAAACTACACTGAATAAGCAAATAGAGCTAAATAGGTACCCTATACCTAACATTGAGGAAATTTCTTTGAATTTGGCAGGAGGAGACAAATTCACTGAATTAGACTTTAGTCATGCTTACACTCAACTAGAACTGCATCCAGATTCAAAAGTCTATACGACAATAAACACACATAAAGGACTCTACCAATATGAAAGACTATGTTTTGGCATATCATCTAGCCCTGGAATTTTCCAAGCTGTCATGGACAGTATTTTTAAGGACATTCCAAATGTTTGTGTGTACTTTGACAATGTGTACATAACTGGTAAGAATGACACTGAACATCTTAAAACACTTGATAAAGTCTTGAAAATTGTTGGTGAAAAAGGTTTAAAGATAAACAAAGATAAATGTCAATTCATGCTGACAGAAATTAGTTTTCTTGGTTATATATTAAGCAAACAAGGCATCAGACCTCAACCTGAGAAAACAAAAGCCATTAAAGAAGCACCCAAACCTGAAAATACCCAACAACTAAGAGCTTTTTTGGGCTTGATAAATTACTATGCAAAGTTCATAGGAAATCTGTCTGGTAAACTATCACCACTGTACAAGCTGCTACAGAAAAATGCAACTTGGCACTGGGGTAAACAACAAGAAGCTGCTTTTAATACAGCAAAAGAGGCTTTGTCTGCTGACACCTTACTAACTCACTATGACCCAGGGAAAAGACTTGTATTGACATGTGATGCTTCACCAGATGGTGTAGGAGCAGTCTTGTCCCACATGGATGAGAAGGGTGACAGACCCATTGCTTTTGCCAGTAGATCTTTGAACCAGGCTGAGAAAAATTATTCTCAGTTAGATAGGGAAGGCTTAGGCATCATTTTTGGTGTTAAGAAATTTCATAAGTTTCTGTTTGGTAGGAAGTTCACCATCTTTACAGATCATAAACCATTGCTAGGTTTATTTGGAGAAAACAAAACCCTACCTGAGCATGCCTCACCAAGAATTCAAAGATGGGCTATCACACTAACTGCATACAATTATGAATTGAAATACAAACCTGGATCTGAGAATAGTGCAGATAGTCTTAGTAGATTACCTTTAAAAAACCAAAGCCTGAGCTATGTACCAGAAGATGTATTTGTTCTCTTCACTATCATGGATAACTCCAATATAAATGTGAATGATATTAAGAGAGAAACACAAAAAGATGAGTGCTTAATAAAAGTATATGAGTACTGTAAGAATGGTTGGCCTGAAGAGTCAGTGAATGAGGACTTAAAGCCATATAAAATAAGAAATTAAAACCCTTTGTGAAGATAATATAAAAGATGGAGAAGATGCAGTCCATTATCAGTCAGAGCTACCTAAACAAAGTATTTGTAACTTAATAAATGATTATGGTGATATGGCAATTTCAAATGCTTTAAGTAAGAAGGAATGTGATCATAAAACAACTTTGCTAACATCATTAGCACTTACAGAAACTAAAAGGGTAACATCAAAAGAAAAGAAAAAGGATTTTTGCCATTTAATACACCCACTTCAAATACTGGATCACAGTTGCAAAGTGATATTGTCCAGGATATTACTTTAAACAGTATTTTTGGTTACCAGGAAAGCACTATCAGATTACCTGAGAAATTGATCAATCAAAGAAATCTATGCCAGTTAAGGATCTGAATAATAGCATAATACTTTCAGATGCCAATTCAAAAATAGTTCCATTAAATCATGACAAAACATTCATTGAAAGAGAATTTGGTGTTAATGAGAATGTGTATCTAAGAAACTATGGGAGAAGGGAAAAATGGATACCAGGTCAAATTGTTCAATGTACAGGACCTGTGTCTTATAAAGTAAAAACAAATGATGGACTTATTGTCCGTAGACATGCAGACCAGTTAAAAATAACTTGTGCAGATAATAAGTGTGAATCTGTCAATCCCACCAAATCTGAACAGTTCACACCAACTCAGTTTGTTTCACAACCAAGTTCTGTTGATATGAGTGAACCAAGTTGTCTGGAGTCAGAAAATGTAAATTCTGGAGTTAATGATTTAAATCCTAGACCTCCTGAGATAGAGAATCCAGATGGTCAGAATCTTGAGTCACCAAATCAAAAGCCACTGAGAAGGTCAAGCAGGACAATCAAAGTCCCAAATAAGTTAGACCTATGATTTTAAAGGTCAAAAAGGACTTTGACATCATTGTTTTGTATCTTGATTATGTTGTAGCATATTGTGCATTGTTTGTAAGGATGTAATATACCATAGTGTTCATGTTACAATATAATTGGTGATTTTAGGATACTATCAATTGTTCTATTGAGAGATGTGTTATTGTGTTCTAAGGGTAAAGGGATGTAATAGATTGAAATAATTGTGAGGTCAAGGGAACTCACTCTTCTGTATTAGTTATATTTATAATATTGTTATCTTGAGTGATGTCCCTTGTGTACGTCCTCTTCAGTCCTCTCTGTGTGTTACCATCGTGGTAGTTAGACCCATTAAATGTGTTATATACAACCACAGGCTTCTGTCGTCAATCTATTATAATTGTGGCATCAGCTCTTTGCCAAGTCAGTTTTTTTTTTTACTTTCCCAAACTTAAGTTTTAAGCACCATCATATCTTGCTATGGAAGCAAATAACCAGTTGACACTAATACTAAAATTAAGAATAAAGAAGAAGTACAGTGACATCCATGGGATAATCATTTTGTGACAGTACTAAAGCTATGTTTAAAGTAATATAAAACAGACTTACTGATAACATTAAGCACAACAACTGAGCTGACTGTAGAACCAATACTATTGGCTGCGCCACAAGTGTAGTTTCCTGAGTCTTGAGCTGACAACAAATAAATGGTCAGTGTAGGGTTAAAGGTCGTTCCCCCTGAGTACTTGCTAGTATTGGCGGAGGAGTTGATGGCCCCCACGCCTATTTTGGTCCAGTTGAAGCTTGTTATAGCTGGGTTAGCACTGATGCTACAAGTCAAGCTCACAAATCCCACATCTTTTAATGAGATTGGATCAGTGACAACTGTCAACTTGGGCTTGTCTAAAGACAAAGGAAACTGTTTTAGAACCATAAAAATATCATTACCATCAAAACTTATGCCATATTTTTAAAGAGTGAAATAAGAACTGTGATAACTATCTGAAGCATTAAAACTATATTTTATCTAAAGAAAAAGAAATAAAAAGTAAATATCTTCCAATATAATTAACAAAAATGCTTATACTTTTGTTTATGTATGAGTTCATTAATTATACTGAAACACTTGTATTGCTGATTGGGAAAAGTGAATAGGTTATAAAAGAAACTATTAATTTTATTTTTTTGCTTTTATTTATAATGTATGTATGAAAAGTTGCTTTAAAAGATGAAACAGAATTATTGACACTATTTAAACATAACTTTTAACACTGGAGGGATGGTGTAGTCTAGAGGTAGAGCACTAACTGCTAACCTGAAAGTCTCGAGTTTGAATCCAGGTTAAAATCAGAATAATGGCCCTGAGTCCACAAGCTCTTATCGGTACCTAACTCACATTAGGGAAACAAAGGTAGCTGGGCTTAGTTCCGATCACATTATCCCCTTGTAATGCCATGGTCATTGTAACTGATGAACTCTACTTCATCTGCCCGTGTGTCTTGGGCAGTAACAGGAAAAGATTTATGATTAATACTGTACCTGTAACAATGAAGGGCAGAACTTACAGAAGATGTTTAAAGATGAATTAGGGCCCTGACTAGGCCCAAAGCTGTTGTTGGCCACACAAGCGTAGATGCCAGTGTCAGTGTCTGTCAGGTACAGGATAGTCAGGTTAGGTCTGGTAGTGGTGCCGCCCTGGTACTTGGTAGAGTTGGATGTGTTTAGCCGCTGACTGTTCCGAGTCCAGTAGAGGTCTGTGAGTGAATCTAGAGGTGTGACGTTGCATTCCAGAGTTGTCTGTTGGCTTTCAACGCCAGTCAGGTTAGTGGTGGTGGGTGGTTTTATTACTGGAAAAGCTAAAAAAAGCAAAGCATTAAATGGTGAATAGTCGTCAACTGATACTTCTTATTTTAATGAACTTAGTGTTGTCATGAAGTTGGTGCTTATTCAATAAGCCTGTGTTCATTCAGCTGGGTAAAATATTAAGTGTTCAAAATTTAATTTGGCCTTTTAATTGAAAATTTGAGCATGACTCAGAGTTTATCATTACATGTGAATTTCTAACAGTTTATTTATACTTTTGTGATGAATGTTGAATAGAAGTTGTGAACCTATTGTATGATTAAATATCTCTTAACAATATCTTTTATTTATGGAAAGTAATAAAACTAAGATGATTGTAAAATGTAAATTGGAATAAAATAGCATTGCCTATTGGTGAGGCATACTATATTTTTTATACAAGAAGCTATAAAAAATAAAAATATGCAAGAGAAATATTTTTAATGATGTAAAATTTAAAAAATGTGCAGAGAAAAATATTGTATGGCTAAATACAAAAAGTAAAGAAATGCAGAAACACGCTGAAGAATTTAAAATGAAAAAGCTGGTTTCAAATAGTGAAGAGCTGAAAATTGAAAAATTCTTATTAGCAGTTTATGTTCAATGTATAAAACTAGCAATTTTAAATTGAATAATGAATACACCAGCAATGCCATGAAATGAAAAATAAAATGGAGTCAGCATTTATAAATAAGGTTTTGAAAAAAAACATTAAAAGCATTCACAAATTGAGTACAAAAGCCTGACAGATTTCTATGTTTTAAGATGTTTAAATATCCAAATATAAAACTGACCATTGAGATTGTTTATAGTTTATACTCTTTATACTCTGTCCCCTTGTAAATATTTTATTTGTTGTAAGAAGACATTTTCTCAATGTGGTAATAATGAAGGCAGCTTTGAACAATGTAGGTAAATAAATGTGTCCAAACCAAATATTTCCGTGTTCTTAAGTGGTTTGCTTTATAATCTTTAACTAACTAGCAGCCTACAAAAATATCAGTCACACAAAATATCAGTGAATGCCAAAGCCATTTTTTCCCCCTTTAGCCTATAAAAAGCCAATTATCAAGCATGATGAAATAAACCAACCAATGAGCCTGTAGAAATGTATGAAACAAAATGCTTCATACACTGAAGAGTTACAGTAATCCTAAAAAATAGAAATATAAAAAACATTTATCTCATTTTTCAAAAAAAATTATAAACAAAACAATGTAAAAAAATTATTTAAATAAATATTAATTAAATTAAATATAATATAATATTAAAACAGTATTAGTGTCAGAGATAGAAAGTTATTTTAACAGTGGGTTTGGTTAAATTTTAAAAAGTTGTTTAAAAAAAATAGTTCAAAAACAAAAATCACACAATTATCAGGATATATATGATTCAGTCACAGAGTTAGTATTTTAGCAGGACATTTAATAGGCATTTCAATCTAAAAAGTTCAAGTTCAATTTAATTTCAATAGTATTCAAATACAGAATTTAAGTATTTTTTTGTTTATAATTAAATACTTATCATATAGTTTTATTACATTTTCCACAGTTAGGGTTATTTAACTTATGGAACATAAAATTTTGGGGGTGAAGAGATTCAATATTTTACTTTACTCTGAAGTCCCAGGCTGAAGTTAGAAGTACAACTCACAGAAAACTGTTAGCATTAGAGCTGAGCTTGTAACTCTTCCAACATCATTCTCAGCCACACACGCATACAGCCCTGGATCAGAACTGGCATCTAAGATTAAAATGGTGAGATTTGGCGTGGCTACTGTGCCGCCAGAATATTTGCTGGAGGTGCCTGTGGTGTTTAAGGGCAGTCCGTCTTTGGTCCAGTAGAAGCTGGAGAGTGCTGGGAAAGCTGTCACAATGCTGATCAGGGTGATGTTGGTGCCTGCTTTGGCTGTGATGTTGCTGGTGTTGACATAAATTGTAGGTGGGTCTGAAATTGTGTGTAAAATACATATTGTATATACAAATGTTTAACATTCAAATTATTTAATAGAAGTTTGTAACATTAATCAGACAATGTAAAACATTATTAAAAAAGAGGTGAATTTGATAAAAGAAATATTAAAAGTAATAACAACATAAAAGCTAAAAAAATCCTTCAATTAAAACCATGTATTTAAGTAAACACTAAATATTTTCATGAAAAAAAAAGTTGAGGGAAGGTGAATAAATTATAATTTATAACACATTAGGTATAATGATTTGTAATGTATAATATTCATTTAAGAAATGATACTTATCAAAAGCAAAAAATTGTTTAATTTAATTACACCATGTTTAAGTGTTGTAAATTATTCATTTATGAAATGATGCTTATTGAGAGCAAAGAACATTTTGCTTAGTCTATATTAATTATAACCTGTTTAAATGTTGTGGGGCTTACACATTGTGTTCTATGCACTGACATGTCTATAGAAGATAATACGTTTAGCTAGAAGTAGATTCAACATATATATGTTCAATAATAAACAACCAAATTTATCACTTACATGTAACAAGAAAAGAAACTGGAACTTGATTTGAATTAGATCCTATACTGTTTTCCACTGTTAAAGTGTAGAGCCCAACATCAGATCGAGAAATATTTTTGATGGTCAACTCTGGATTTGTTGGTGTAGCACCACTGTACTTGGACAGCTGGTTAGTGACATTGATCACCTGGCCATCCTTCTTCCAGGTCAGGAGGACTGGGGCTGGGCTACTGTCTACTAGGGCTGTAATTGTGTATTGAGCAGTTCCTTCTCTTACTGAAATAGTTGTCTGATTCATCAACACCACTGGAATATCTGTAAATAAAATTTAATTATTTTATATTTTTATATATTAATTAAAGTATATAAAATAGTAACAAAATAAAAAAGATAATAAAAGTTTTTTTTTTTTATATGAAACTTGAATATTTGTTAAAAGCTTAATATAATCAGACAAAATATAATAAATGGTCAAAGTAAGATCAAGTACAATATCTAAAATTCTTGTCATGGTGTAATCATGCAGTAGTTATCAATTTTGTATTTGGCATGTATAGAAAAAGAAAACGTTTTAACTAAATAATAATGTATAAATCTAAAATAGACTTCATCATATTATACTTACAGTTCACAACAACTGATACTGATTGACTGGAGGAAGCTCCAATGTTGTTAACAGCTACACATGTATAATTTCCAGTGTCTGTTTTTGAAGTGTTAATAATAGTTAAATTTGTATTGAAAATTGTCCCCCCTGAATACTTTTCAGGATTAGAAGTGGAAGAGATGTTACTGTTAGATTTCCTCCAATAGAAATCAGTCAATTGAGGGTTGGCATCTACATTACATGTAAGAATTATTGTACTTCCAGAGACTGTGGTTACAGGACTGGTGGTTGCAGAAAGCTTAGGGGCATCTGTAAAGAAAAATAAAATAAATTTCAACATTTTTTCACTGGCAAAAACTTGAACTAAAAACATACAAATACAATTAAGTTATTTCAAGATTCCAAAGAGGACTTCAATAAGGATTTATATTCGGATTCAACAATGTGCTATTTAAAATATTTGCTTGAAACTTTCCTACACTTAAATTAAAACATTTGATATACAACCTAAACTTTTAAATGCTAAAATTTGCTATAATCATCAATTTTTGAAAACGTTATAGAATAATTAGCCATACAAGGTAAATAATAAATAATAAATATAATTAAATTAGAAGACATCAGTTAATAGTTAATACACTTAACATAAATATAATTGTGTCTTACATTGTACGACAACATTGATGATATCACTGCTAGAATTCCCATAAGAATTTCTGGCCACACAAGAATAAGATCCTTTGTCTATTGGGGTCAGTGACAAGATGGTCAAGCTGGGTGTTGCTGTTGTGCCACCAGAGTATTTAACAGTATTATTGGTAACCAGCCGGTGACCATCTTTCAACCAGTAAAGTTCAGTTAGTGTGTTCAGTGGAGTGACCTGACAACTAAGGGTCACTTGCTGGTTTTCAATGACAGTGATGTTTGTGTTTGGAGTGACTATCACTGGGACAGCTGAAATAATATTTTATTTTAATAAAAGTTTTTAATGATGGCAAAGATTATGTTAAAATTTACCCATTTTCAAATATGCTCAATTTGGTTTTTATGGACAAAGAGTGTAAAGAGAGCATACTTATTTTTAAAAATTATTTTTTAGTTTGTAAATTGCATAGATTAAACAAGTTAATAAAAAGTCTAGTGACAATTTAAGCGCAATTTCCTTAATTAATTTTTTGTGACCAAACGAAAGGATAATTTTGAAAACTTTCTTCGGCAATATTGTTCTAAATTATGGCAGGTATCGATTGGTAAATGTTTCAAGTCGCTAAGTGGTCTGGTTGCCAAGATATGGGCCAAAAACTGCATTTTTTCTAGGTTTTTTGGCTATTTCCGGGAAATCCAGGAAGGAATTCAGGGAATTTTTTGGCCCACAATCATCCTCGGAACTTGCTTAACATATTTGCTTTGGAACTAGTCCTTGATATTGTTTCATTGAGGAGGAGATACGACTTAAAGCTGCGGACACACATCCATCCATCCATCCAGAAATAATGAATTAATAATCGCAATTGTCAGTATGGAAATTGCGCTAAAAACTAACTAACAATTTATTAAAAAAAAAGATTTAAAAAGTACACATCTATTTTTAAAAATTATCAATAAAATCTACTCACTTATAACAACAACTGTGACAGGATTACTACTTGTAGTACCCACAGTGTTGCCAGCTATACAAATATAATCAGAGCCAGCATCAGAACCTGATGAACTCAAGATTCTCAAGCTGGGATCACTGGTTGTTCCCCCTGAATATTTGCTAGGATTGTTGACATTAATGGTCTGACCAGATTTTGTCCAAGACAAACTGCTGATGGCTGGAACTGCATCAACACTACAGTTTAAGGTAATGGTTTGGCCAGCAACCACAGTCACTGTTGAGTTGGTTACTGCCACACGAGGTACATCTGTAGTAATTGTGAAATGTATGAAATATATAAAACATACAATAAAAATTATTATCATTTCAAGACTTAAAAAAAATAATTGTTTAACTAGCAAATCAAAAAAAGAATACTGCAAAAGTGCTTTGCTTTAATGCAGTCTAAAATAGAACAAATATTAAACAATATTATGTTCAACTATTTTTTATTTTATTTTGGGTTTAAACTTATTGCGTTGTAGAATGATAATTTTGTTAGAACATTTAAGTTATCCTAAGATTAAGTAACTATATTTAGTTTTTACAATGAAAAGAATGTAGGCCTTTATTTTTTATAGCACTTTTAGCCTTTTAAATGTTATTTAATAAATATATAAGAAGGAATTTATAGGATTTCCATTAATACTCAATACACTTAACATAATAAAAATTGTGTCTTACATTGTACAACAACATTGATGACATCACTGCTAGAATTCCCATAAGAATTTCTGGCCACACAAGAATAAGATCCTTTGTCTATTGGGGTCAGTGACAAGATGGTCAAGCTGGGTGTTGCTGTTGTGCCACCAGAGTATTTAATAGTATTACTGGTAACCAGCCGCTGACCATCTTTCAACCAGTAAAGTTCAGTTAGTGTGTTCAGTGGAGTGACCTGACAACTAAGGGTCACTTGCTGGTTTTCAATGACAGTGATGTTTGTGTTTGGAGTGACTATCACTGGGACAGCTGAAATGATATTTTTTTATAAAAGTGTTATAATAATGGCAAAGATTATGTTAAAATTTACCCATTTTCAAATATGCTTAAAAAATGGTTTTATGGACAAAGTGTTTAGATAGAGCATACATTTTTTAAAATTATTTCTTAGTTTGTAAATTGCATAGATTAATAAACTAACTAACAATGTATAAAAAAAAAATTATAAAAAAATAAACATGTATTTAAAAAAATTACCAAAAAAACCTACTCACTTATAACAACAACTGTGACAGGATTACTACTTGTATTGCCCACAGTGTTGCCAGCTATACAAATATAATCAGAGCCAGCATCAGAACCTGATGAACTCAAGATTCTCAAGCTGGGATCACTGGTTGTTCCCCCTGAATATTTGCTAGGATTGTTGACATTAATGGTCTGACCAGATTTTGTCCAAGACAAACTGCTGATGGCTGGAACTGCATCAACACTACAGTTTAAGGTAATGGTTTGGCCAGCAATCACAGTCACTGTTGAGTTGGTTACTGTCACACGAGGTACATCTGTAGTAATTGTGAAATGTATGAAATATATAAAACTTTCCGTAAAAAATTTTATCTTTTCAAGACTTTAAATAAAAAAATGTGTCTAACTTGCAAACCAAAAATGAATACTGCAAAAGTGATTTGCTTTAATGCATACTCAAACAGATCAAATATTACAACTATTTTTTAAAATACTTTTGGATTTAAACTTATAGTGTTGTAGAATGATACTTTTGTTAGAACATTTAATTTATTCTAACATTTTAAGTAACTATAGTTAATTTCCAGAATGAAAAGAATGTAGGCCTTTATTTTTTATAGCACTTAGCGTTTTAAATATTATTGAGCTGAATATCAAATAATTTCATTAATAAATATATAAGAAGGAATTTATAGGATTTCCATTAATACTCAATAAACTTAACATAATAAAAATTGTGTCTTACATTGTACGACAACATTGATGACATCACTGCTAGAATTCCCATAAGAATTTCTGGCCACACAAGAATAAGATCCTTTGTCTATTGGGGTCAGTGACAAGATGGTCAAGCTGGGTGTTGCTGTTGTGCCACCAGAGTATTTAACAGTATTACTGGTAACCAGCCGCTGACCATCTTTCAACCAGTAAAGTTCAGTTAGTGTGTTCAGTGGAGTGACCTGACAACTAAGGGTCACTTGCTGGTTTTCAATGACAGTGATGTTTGTGTTTGGAGTGACTATCACTGGGACAGCTGAAATGTTAATTGTTTTTAAAAAAGTTTTATAATGATGGCAAAGATTATGTTAAAATTTACCCATTTTCAAATATACTCAAATTGATTTTTAAGGACAAAGAGTGTCAATAGAGCATAAATTTAAAAAAAAAAATAAAAAGTATTTCTTAATTTGTAAATTGCATATGTTAAATAACTAACTAATAATGTGTTAAAAAAAAAGATTAAAACAATACATATGTATTTTAAAAAATTATCAATAAAACCTACTCACTTATAACAACAACTGTGACAGGATAACTACTTGTATTGCCCACAGTGTTGCCAGCTATACAAATATAATCAGAGCCAGCATCAGAACCTGATGAACTCAAGATTCTCAAGCTGGGATCACTGGTTGTTCCCCCTGAATATTTGCTAGGATTGTTGACATTAATGGTCTGACCAGATTTTGTCCAAGACAAACTGCTGATGGCTGGAACTGCATCAACACTACAGTTTAAGGTAATGGTTTGGCCAGCAACCACAGTCACTGTTGAGTTGGTTACTGCCACACGAGGTACATCTGTAGCAAAAATTTAATTTAAAAACTAGATTATTCATTTGAAATATGAGTGTCTTAAACTTTAAAATATAAAACAAATTATATTAATTAAATGTAAAATTAACAGACTAAATCAATAATAATTTTTTTTTAAATGAGATTCAAAAGAACAGTAAATACATAATGCGAGTGTTAACAGAACACTCTTTACACCATATGTGTATAACCTTAACATTCAATAGATAATCTAAACTCTTTTTTTGTTTTATACAGCTATACTTGTGTTAAAACAGTTGTCATTACTAAAGGTTCACATAGTAGAATGTTTTATTTCATAACTCTATGAAAATATATTACCAACATATTTTTTGTACTTGCTTTCTTTATATGTTCTTAGGCTAAACATAATTATTTCCTTATATAATGATTTCATCATATTTTATACTATCAGTATTTTCAGATAACACTTCTTAATGAATCAGCATTAATTACATTATGAAAGTTAAATTGTGCCTTACATTGTACGACAACATTGATGATGTCACTGCTAGAATTCCCATAAGAATTTCTGGCCACACAAGAATAAGATCCTTTGTCTATTGGGGTCAGTGACAAGATGGTCAAGCTGGGTGTTGCTGTTGTGCCACCAGAGTATTTAACAGTATTACTGGTAACCAGCCGCTGACCATCTTTCAACCAGTAAAGTTCAGTTAGTGTGTTCAGTGGAGTGACCTGACAACTAAGGGTCACTTGCTGGTTTTCATTGACAGTGATGTTTGTGTTTGGAGTGACAATGAGTGGGACCGCTGTAATAAATTTAATAAACAGATTCTTCAGCACCTATTTCATCACAACTATGTTCTGACTTGTGTAAATTTTCAAAAAAAAATGTGGCATTATTGAATTTCATTCTTATGTTTAAAAAGAAATTCTCTTGTTTTCAAATTTTTTAAAAATTACCTTTCTTAAAATGAGAAAAATCCAATTTATTTTGCAATACATGGTTTCTAGCAGAAGGTTGTGATAATATATTTCATTAGGATATAACTACATCTATTTGTTTAATTTGAATTTAAAATAAGTCTTTGTCCTAAAAATGTAACATCTTAATACTAGAGCTACAAAATATGTGTAAGTCATTTTCATTATACTTACACAAAAATGACATACACACAATTTAAACTTTAACTGCATTTAGTTCATATTCCACCTTTTTAAATTTCTTACATGAAGCATAATTAAGTTTAAGGTAATGGTTTGACCAACAATGACTAATATTGTTGAGTTTGTCACTGTCACACGGGGCCCATCTGTGAATGTTTCAAGATTTGTCAATAACATACCAATAGCAAGTGGTGGCATGGCCAAGTGGTAAAGAGAACTAAACTGCTAAACCGAAAGTCTTAAGTTCAAATCCTGGTTCAAATAAGTATAATGTCCCTGAGTATAACCATCTGAAGTGGGTACCTAACTAATGTTAGTGAAACAAAAACCCAGTATGCTAAGGTCATTGAAACAGAGGAACTCTACTTCATCTGCCCCATGTGTCTTAGGCACAATCAGGAAAATATTATATTAAACCAAAAGCAGTTGTTGTTTTTTTTATGTGTATGTGAAATATAGCATGTAAGATTGAAATGGTTATTCAAAATAAATTGTAGCCTATAAACTGCTATTGAAGTGTTACCTTTTATCAATCTAAATGTTTCCATTTATCAATTAGAATTAGTTTTTCAGAAAATTATAACATTGCCTTTTACTAAACAAATAGTTTTCACTTAATAATTGGAATAAGTTTGGCATAGAAATATATTACAGTATAAAATATTTTATTGAAAAAACTATGTATTAAGAAAAATTAGTAAATAGGCATGATCTATTTTTATATTTTTTAAACAGTTAAAACAATAACAATGTGAATGTAGATGTTCTTACACAGTACAGTGAGAGTAATATTTTCACTCTTGGAAGTCCCATAAGAATTAGTTGCTACACATGAATAAAATCCCTCATCTCCAGGAATAACAAAAAATATGACCAAATTTGTAGAACTATTAGTTCCTCCAGTATATTTTGTAGCATTAGAAATGTTTAGTTGTTGCCCATCTTTCACCCAATAGAAGCTAGTGATAGAGTCCAGTGGTGTAGCTTCACACTTTAAGGTCACATTTTCAGTTTCATTTGCAGAAACTTTTGTAATTGGGGTTGATATGACTGGTGCAGCTTTAAAAAAAAATAATTATAGAAATTAATTTTATATTTTCTTTCTTAGTTTTTCCAGAACAAGATTCACTGAAAAGTCTACTATATGAACAAAGGCGTAGCTAGAGGAGGGTGCATGGGGCGGCTACCCCAGGTGCTGACTTAAAGGTTGGGGTGCCAATCGGGATAAAACAATGAATAAAAAAGCTCATTTAGAGCTGCATTACTAAATTATACACAGTCGAAGCTATGGAAAATAGACAATTACTCAGTTTTACTCAGTGGCGTAGCAAGGTCGGGTGTCACCCGGTGCGGCACTTAATGGTGTCACCCCCCCCCCCCCCAGAGGCATAGAGACCCTTCCCAGGGATAAACTTTCAAATTTTCGATTTGCACCCCCCCCCCCTCCTCGAACTTTCGATTTGCACCCCCCCTCGAGTTTTTCTCCATATATTTTGCTATTTTTTTGCCTTGGTGTCACCCCCTAAATGGTGTCACCCAGTGCGGTCCGCACCCCCCGCCCCCCCCCCCCTCACTACGCCCCTGGTTTTACTGGCTTATTTAACTGTTTTTTTACATCAAAGTTTTTAACTTAACATAACCATTAAGGTACAGTGAATGGTAAAAAAACGCTCTCAACCTTTCCTAACTGGGATGTGGGGGAGGGGGGACCTTTTTACAAATGCCAATGTGAATAACTATACACATGAGGAGGGAGGGGCACAAAGTTGAAAGTTCACCCCAGCACTGGAATGGGTCACTATGCCTCTGACTGAATACACTTAATTTTAAAAACTGAGTAGCTATTAAACTTAAATATAATCATTGTCAATTCTCCATTCATGTGCTGTGTTTTGCTGTTTGGAACTAATACTTTTCAAAGAAACAAACCATATAGCAGCAAATGTCTAAGAAATTTTTCAGAAATATATATTACATGCCAAATAAATTTTATCACACTTACAATTCAAAGTCAAATTGACTGGTAAACTTGTGGTGGTACCCAGAGAATTGCTAGCTACACAGTAATAGTTGCCAACATCTGAAGGTGCAGCAGTAAAAATTTTCAAAGATCTATCAGTGATTGTTCCCCCTGAATACTTTGTTGGGTTGGCTGTAGAGCTGATAATTGTTTGCTCAAACTTCCAGTAGAACTCTGTAATGTTTGGGCTGGCATCAACTGAGCATGTTAACATGATTGTCTCCCCTGGGCGGGCTTGAATAGAAGAGTTCCCAACACTTACATGAGGAGGATCTGTTTGATAAATTAAAATTATTATTCATTAAGTAAATTAAAACAAAATTTGAAGTAGATGGAATAAGATATTTGACACATTTATTAAAAAATTAAATATTTATTCTTTAGCTGCTATATTAAAATATTTTACAATCAAATATTTTAATTTTAAAAAATCAGGAGTGTTTATCTTGAAAACAATTACATCTTTTCTACATTGAATAAATTAACCACTAATCTTTTAAATGTTTTCCTATTAAAATTAAAATTTCAATTAGATTTATTTTCAACAACAAAACATTTTTCTAAATCCCAAGGAAACTATTGTTTTTAGTCTACCTTAAAACCCCATTGTTAAGTTAAATGGGAAAATTATTTTAAAAGTGTATCTGCTTACATCGCAGACTATAAGAAATCTAGATAAAGGACAACTACCTTAAAAATAAAAACTTACATTGTAAACTGAGTAAAATATTTCCACTCTGTGCAGTGCCATAAGAGTTATTGGCAGCACAGACATATTTCCCAGCATCCGCTAGGGTCAGTGAATTTACGGTCAAGCTTGGGGTTATTTTGTTACCACCTGAATATTTGCCTGTATTAGATGTGTCTAGCCTTTGTCCATCCTTAGTCCAATACAGGTCAGTCAATGAATCTAAGGGTATGACTTCACAGCTTAAAGTCACTTGTTGATTTTCAGATGATGTAACATTGGTGCTTGTTGTAGATATTACTGGGGATGCTGTTAAGTGTATACCATGAAACTTTAACCTAGATACATCTATTAAACCAGTGGTTCCCAACCTTTTTCGAGTGGCGACCCCCTTTTATAAAAATTAAGTGACCCGCGACCCCCATAGAATCAAAAAGCCGAAATTTAGTATGGAAATTAATAAGCACTAAAATAACATTTTCTAGTAGACTTTCAATATGAACTACTCTTGATAACTGTTTTAATACCATGAGTAAAATTGCATACTATTCACTAAACATTAGTGGTTAATTTTTTTAATAGCATTTTTTTTTTGTTAACGCCAACCTATGTCATTATCATTATCTTAATTTTATTTTTAATCGAAAAATAGTGTTGAAAATCTATTCTCGAAAAGTCAATCAATTTTACGTTTGGGTATGAATGGTGAATACTACACCAAAATTGAGTGTGCAGTTTTTTATCTTACGCGGAATCATTCTACAAATCAAAGAATTCATCTTGTAATTCATCGTGAATGCTGGCAACATCGAGGAAAGAAGAGAATGGATAATGCGTCAATGCAGATTCTTCTGACGTTTGCAACTAGCTTCATACCGACGAAAGAACTCCATATCATAAACTCATGACTGAGAAAAACTTTGTACAGTACGCTTTGCTTCTTCTCTATTCAATTTCCAGTGATTTTAGTAAAGCCAAATTTTAAAAATTCTTCTAAATATTTACGTTTTGTTTCAAATTATTAAGGTTTATTATACCAGTTTTCGACCCCCCAGAAAGCCCTTCGCGACCCCCATGGGGGTCGCGACCCCCAGGTTGGGAACCCGTGTATTAAACCAAATGTAAACACAATAATCAAAAATTCATTTCTTTGCTACATATTAAATAATATTAATATCCAAATATTTATGATTGAAATGTGTGCAGTGTTTCTTCAAGACTTTTTCTCTAGGGGGGGGGGGGGGGGGGGTACTTGAACTTTAGGTAGGGGTAGGGGGGCAGACTAAATAAAAATTTGGAGGGGTGGGGGAATCCTGTTAAAAGTATATATTTTCAATATAAATTCCATTTCGTTTGGGGGGTGGTGGTAGACTCTCTTTAAAGAAATGCCTAGAAGAAACATTAAATGAGTGATTTAAAAACCTACTAACTTATAACAACAACTGTGACAGGATTACTACTTGTATTGCCCACAGTGTTGCCAGCTATACAAATATAATCAGAGCCAGCATCAGAACCTGATGAACTCAAGATTCTCAAGCTGGGATCACTGGTTGTTCCCCCTGAATATTTGCTGGGATTGTTGACATTAATGGTCTGACCAGATTTTGTCCAAGACAAACTGCTGATGGCTGGAACTGCATCAACACTACAGTTTAAGGTAATGGTTTGGCCAGCAACCACAGTCACTGTTGAGTTGGTTACTGCCACTTTTGGGCGATCTGGGAAATTAAAAAGCATGTTTCACAGTTTTTTATGACATACTTTTAAATTACCTGCTAAGTACTGACTAATATTAATACATAACTATTCCAACATTGGTGTCATAATAGTTTATAGGCAAATATATTGGATATAAATGGGATTTAGTGATAACATTATTCCCATTAAAATTAAAACCGTTCTTGTTTGGGTATAGACTATATAAAAAGCTAACTTATAAAATATGGTTCATGACAGTTTTAAACAGCTATAAGAATTACTTTAAATGATCACATCATTCAATAAAGACATGTTTTTAAAGTAATGAACTACTAATAATTTTTATTGTTTTAAAAGCATTTTTAAACAGCTATAAGAATTAGTTTTGATGATCAAATCATTCAATAGTGAAATGTTTTAAAATAATGAACTATTAATAATTTTTGTTTTAAAAGCAAGGATGATACTATTTTAATATTAAGGGCTAGTTTTGTAAATTTGTTTTAAAATGGAGTTGTCTGTATTTTGGAAGGAAGATTTGTATTTTTTAATAATTTATTTTATAAACTTTATCAGTGAAATAGTCCTTAGGTATTTGAAATTAAAAATTCATTTAAAAAATAACTGAAATAATTAATCAATTAAAAGCTCACAAGTTAGATCCACTGTGACATTACTCCCTGGCACTGTACCAAAAGCATTGGCAGCCACACACATGTAGGTGCCACTGTCTGAGATAGACAAAGACTTTATGGTCAAGCTTGGTGTGGACAGGGTGCCACCCGCGTATTTGGTTGAGTTGGTCGTGTTCAACCTCTGTCCATCTTTTGTCCAGTACAGGTCTGTCAGTGATTCTATGTTTGTGACAGGGCAGTGTACAACAACTGATTGGTTCTCTGTGCCGTTAACAATTGTGTCATTTGATTTGATGACTGGAACAGCTGTTTTGATTGGACAATATTTTTTTATTTAAATTCTTTGATTTTGTGATTACATATATTAAGTACAGGTTCAGCTTGTGTTTTTAACAAATGCTAAATTTACTTTCAAAACAACTGTTAAAATTGTGACATGACATGCAAAAAATATCTACTAAAAAGTCATTACATAAAAAAGCAAAAGCATACACCTTTACAAAACATAGCTAAGGGGGTAGGCTTCAGTAAAAACACTAAATTTAATGCTTTTGACAGACCCACTTTTTGAAAATTCATAAGAAATTAGTTTGAAGATCTGCACTTACAATTTTTAGCTGAATACCCCAAATGTAATATTTTATCATTGGTGGAAATCCTACAAAGAGGTAAATTTTTCAAAATGGCCTCCCTTGTCAAAGTTACCAAAAAAACATTACCCATTTTTTAAAACGGAAATGCATATTTAGATATAGAGAAAAAATCGTTTTCTCTCTAGTATTTATAGTATTAAAAAAGTTTTTATTACTGGAGCCTACCTCCTTAAACTATAAGTGATTTGATTACTCACTTGTTACAGTTAATGATATATTTGAGCTTGTGGTTGTTCCCTCTGAATTGGTAGCTACGCAGGCATACACACCAGGATCAGACTTTGGATCGAGGCTAAAGATGGTTAGGTTTGTCTGAGTTATTGTGCCACCTTGATACTTTGGACTTGGAGTTTGAAGCTGTGTACCATTCCTGGTCCAGTAGAAGTTTGTGACACTTGGTAAAGCTGATACAGCACAGGTAAGGGTAGCATTGGTTCCTGCTTGTGCTGATATTTCATTGGAGCTGACAATAACAGAGGGAGCATCTGGAAATATTAAGAGGACAATGTATAAAAATAAAAAAAAAAACAGTTTTTATAATATAAAATAAAATTGTGCTCATTATAACAGCCTGGTGCTACTAAGGTTATTGTAACATAAGTTTTAACATAAGTTTTAACATCAGTTTTAACATATTAAGTTTTAACATAAGTTTTAACAGAAATTTTAGCAGAAGTTTTAGCAGAAGTTTTAACAGAAGTTTTAACATAAATAACATAGTAAAGCAATAATGTGCATTAACGTGAAAAAATTACTGAAGATGTCTTTTGATTAAAAAAAATTAAAATTATAGACAATTAGAAGCAGTTGTCCATAAAAGAAGTCAAAAAGTTTTACTGGACATGAAGCCCTGTCCCTTGTTACCACACATCATTAGCAGAAAGCCAGTCACTTCCAAAAAAATAGCATACCTATGTTCCTCTTCCTCTCCCCCCCCCCCCTCCCCACACTCCCACTTTAAACAATTATTTTAACACCTTTCATCATTTGTTTTCAAGTATTAAAAAATTTAAATTTCAAATTTGTTATCTCCCTTAGCTCTAAATATCAGATTGTGACTTGTCAGATATAAAACTCCCCCCAAGATTTATAGACGACCCACTTCAGGTCGATATACCGTATAAACCCCATTACAATATAATCCAGTTTCCTTGATAATATAATCCACTTACATGTAACAAGAATATTGACAGCACCACTGGAACTTGAACCAAAGCTGTTGGTAGCCCTGCACACATAAGCACCAGAGTCAGAGCGGCTGACGTTGTTTATGGTCAGACTAGGAGTGGCTGTTGTACCACCAGCATACTTGGGAGATGGGATGTTTAAAGGCTGTCCATCTTTCAGCCAGATGACTGAGCTTACAGCAGGATTTGCATTAACTTCACATGAAATTTTAAACTGCTGGCTTCCTTCAGAGATTGTTATATTTGTAAGGTTTACTTTTACTTCAGGTGCAGCTTATAATAAAGAGAAAAATTGACATTGAATTAGAGAATAGAAGAAAATGAACTAGTTGTATGTCAGATATATTTCTTAACTCTAAGCTATTTCAGGGTTTGAAAAGAGAAGGAAATAGGAAGCAGATTTTGATTTTTGATTTTTTTATTTTGCATCACATGAGCTAAGCAAAAAAAAAATGCTACTCATTCCTTTTGCTTTCAAAAGAAAAACTAAGTTCCAGTCTGACCTTTACTGAAACAAACTTCAGGTTCAAGCCACTTCTTTAATATCTGAACTGAATCACTCTAATAGATTTTATTTTTTAATGCAATATAGTGTGGCTGTTTAACCATTTGTGTCTTTTACCATACTTTTTTGTACTTCAATATTTTATTTACTTCTCATAACTCTGCTGTGATTTTAATAAACATCTGCTGGGTTGCTATTTTTTCTAGTGTTAAATCTTCTTAGTTAAAAAAAATCAGCTGTAGTATTGCAAAGAGCAATTATGTGGATATAACATTATAACTAATGAGATAAAACTACTACGTCTTACATGTAATGGTAACAATGTATGCACTACTGTTAGTCGTTCCTGTAGCATCACCAATGACACAGACATAGAGTCCACTGTCGGCTTTAGACACATTGTACAGAACAAGAGTTGCCTGGTTGATTGTTCCCCCTTGATACTTGATTGGATCAGAGCTTGTGTTAATGGGTTGTCCACCTTTGGTCCAGTACAAAATAGTGACTGGTGAACTTGAGCTAACATTACAAGTCAGTACAACGATCAAGCTCTCATTACTTGAGATTTGGCTAGGGGTGTTTACCCTGGGAATACCTGTTAATTATATATATATATATATATATATATATATATATATATATATATATATATATATATATATATATATATATATATATATATATATATATATATATATATATATATATATATATATATATATATATATATATATATAGGCCTATAATATATATATATATATATATATATATATATATATATATATATATATATATATATATATATATATATATATATATATATATATATATATATATATATATATATATATTATATATATAGGCCTATGTATATATATATATATATATATATATATTTTAAAATAACTAGCTGAAAATGAATTTTTTTCTGAGATATAAAAATCTTTTGTTTTGTTTCCTTTAAAATGTAAGAAAGCAACTTAGAAATTTGATAAAGTGAGGTGTAAGATGATTTGCCATGAACTAAACACTATACTATGTTAATGCAAGAATTAGATGTCTTTTACCTATAAAATATAACTGAAAAAAAAACAAGATTGAAGTAGACAGATTTAAAAAGTAATATTTTTAAATACTGTAGATATAAAGATGTATTTTAACTTTCAATAAGCTAGTTAGCACCTCAAGAAACAGTAGGAAAAGCAATAAATTATACGCTAAAATGTTTGTGATAACTCAGTCACTTACTTGTATACGTAACAGTTACGTTATCACTTTTAGTGGTGTAAAAAGAATTGGTGGCAACACAGGAGTAAACACCACCATCTGATTCTTGTGCCGAGAGAATGTTCAAATTTGTAACCGCTGATGTTCCGCCTACGTAGTGTCCCGCATCGCTAGTGTTCAGTCTCTGACCATTTTTAGTCCAGTAAAAATCAGTTAAATTGTCCAGAGATGTGACAATACATGTCAGTGTGAATGGCTGATTTTCACTGGCAACAATGTTCGTGTATGGTACAGCGACCACTGGGCTAGCTAAATTTACCAGTGATATTATTGGAGGAGTGAGATACAAAATGAGGAATAGATAGTAGAATATGTTAGTAGCAAGTGTAAAACATGTGATCATGAACAAATTAAAATAAAAATTAAAATCTGAAATTAAAGAAACAAATATTAGTATTTTATATTTTTATAATAATGTAGCTAGCAGCTGGGAACATGTCTTGTTGGATTCTTGTGGCTTTCTGGAAATAAATTTTTTTTTATTTCAATTTTTATAAGCATGTGTTTTAAAGTGATAAAAGTACACAGCAGTGCATATATTCATAGCTGATATAATAATAATAATAATGACAATTATCCCTCTTGTGTTAGTTGATTATATTATTTATGTCTGTTTAATGTTAGTTACCTATACCAACATACAAAATTAAAAAAATAGAAACTTTAACAAAACATGAGAAAAAGCATATAAAAATTATATTAATTTTAAGTTTCCTATTTCAAAGCAAAATGTAAGCAAAACATGAGAAAGTTTATAAATTAAAATAGTACACTCAGCTGATTTATGTCACTTAAGTTAGTGAAAATTTCCTGTTTTACATGTTTTAAAAAAATTATTAAAATATGTAAATTTTATTAGCAAAATATTTAAATAAAGGTAAATAAAAGGTTTAAAAAGCTTTGTTTACAATGTTTTAAAAAATGTAATTTTACATTTTCACCCAACACATCAATATATAAATATCAGCCCATGAACCAAAAATTTAAAAAATAATTTGCACAATAAGCCAATGCTGAACATATTAAAAGCAACACTGATGTTTTTGCGTGGGGTTACAAGTTGCAGCCAACAGCATGTGGATATACGTGGATGATAAACACAATCCGTTGACGGGAAGTGTGACACTCACACAAGACATGAACTTCCTGAATCTGGCCTTCCGCAGTTCCTAATCTGTTTGCCGCACGGCAAAAATAATTCCCTTCATCAGCGGGAACCAAGTTGTTTATGGTCAGAGTTTGCTGGCTGTCTGTGAGCAGGTATTTGCTGCTGTTGCTCATGTCGAAAGTTTGGTTGTCTCTTAGCCAGGTTATTACTGCTGCAGGGTAGGAGTTTACGAAACACCGAAGGGTCACTGACTGAGACAAGTTTCTCTGAAAAGCTGTTTGTTGCACTGGCTGAATCTTAGGCAAATCTGGAATTCATAATGGCTTTTTACATAAGTTTCAACAGATGCAATGTCCTGCTTTCACAAAATATAACTATTGCAATGGATTTTACATAGAACAATATTTAAATTGTAGAAGTTGCACGTAATGTAATCAGAAATCTGCTTTAAAAACCCATTTAAAAATTATGTCTATAAGTTATGATTAAAAACAAATAACTGTATTTTAAATATATTTAGTAATACAATGATAACATGTGTAGATCATTTATCTTTTATTATCCCAACTATCATTCTTTTACAACAAAAAAAAAATTAAAAAACGTAGGCCTAAACAAATCTGACTGTCGATTCTCTGCTTGATGTTATAATGACTATTACGTATTCAATAGTTAAGTGTTTTTTATAACTTACAATTAACGAGTAAAGTAACAGAATCACTAATTATTTTCTGGCCGGTTTGATTGACAGCAACACATTGATAATATGCGGAGTCAGATGGTGCTACAGACTCTATCACCAGATCTGGATATGTCTCGTTATAATTTCCTGGAACAGCAGTCTCTCCTCCATTCTTGGTCCAGAAAACTGAAACGACTTCCCAAGCCGGGGTAAACGAACAGCCCATGACTACTTTCTGTCCTTCATTGCGCTCGTAATAATGTGACGACACATTAACAATTACTGGAGCTAATTACAAAATGATTACAAAATTGATATTAATATATATATATATATATATATATATATATATATATATATATATATATATATATATATATATATATATATATATATATATATATATTTATATATATATATACATAAAGTTTAAATTATTAAATAAATGTACTGGTTTTTGTTGAGCTGGGAGTTGATCATCTTTATACTGCTGTTGTCACATTCTGTAAAATAATTCTTTTACTTGGCTAAAGTACTCCACATTTTGATGTTTAAAATATCAAAATATATTATAAAAGTGAGGCAACATAGCAAGAAAATATGAATAAAACAAGAAATAAAAAACTAAATTTTAACTTATCAGAATTTTGTACATTCAAAGTTCCCTAAAAAAAAACTTATATTTACTTCTTCATGATCTACAATCATATAGGATGGATTTTTTGCAAACCTAATTGTAGCATGTTACTCAACTACTCTCAATCATAACATGATACATGTTGACAGATGATATAAAAAAAAACTCGGTACATTTTCATCAAATACCAATTTTGAATGGAAACTTAGCTAAACACACTGAAATAAATTTATAGAATAAAAAGTGACATCATAGTGTATAGAATGATTGTAAACATGCCATGCCATTAGATGCAACTACAGAATCTACAAATATGCTAAATATGGGCTTCTTCCATTAAATTGATTTAGCATTAAAATAAACTAATTTAAACAGCAATTAAAGCATTAGAAAACTACCAAAAATAAAATAAAATCAGCAATTTTAAATATACGTAGAATATATTTTTTTAATAGAAGAATCTGAAAAGTAGGCTATTGTTGCAGTAAGTTCAATTAAAATTTTTTTTTTTTTAATCTCTCCACTTTCTATAAGATATAAATTAAAAACAAAAGCTTTTAAGGGAAGCCACAAGGTCACACATGCATGACTAATTAAACTATGAGTAGTTTCCCCTTCCTCTAAAGAATAAAAAGCAAAGATAAAAAAATTCAGGGTGCTTTAGGTTACAAGTGCTTCAGTCAACTTACAAGTGACTGTAAGGGTAAGGTTAGACCCAGTTCCTGTCCCAAGTGTATTGCCTGCCTCACAGAAATAAATTCCAGCATCACCTTCTTGCAGGGTCTGTATTTTTAATCCATAATCCTTCAAAGAAAAAATTATATAAGTTAGCTAGCGGGTTTATAAGTATTAGAAAAAAAATTATTAATTATTCTCACTATTAAATGAAATTTATTTTTTATATAATTTTTCATAAAGCTATAAATAACTACACAATTATGTAAACCTTTGTTTAAATACAAAGCTAAAAAATTGTTGCACTTAACAATCTAATTTGTAATTATAGGCCTACTGTTTTTCAAAGCTATTGACTGTTATTTAGTTAGAAGAAAAAAATTTAAGACATACCTTATTAGTGACATCAGCACCAGAATATTTACTACTGGTCAATGATAAAGTTGTGACCTGTCCAGCATCATAGCGCTTCCATCGGATGGTTGTAATTTCTGGAAGGGCGTTCACAGGACAAGGTAAAACTATGCTTGAGCCAACGTTGCCAGTGAATGATGTTATGTTGTACCGTATGACAGGGGCATCTGTAGATCAAATTGCACAGGGCATTGTCATACAAGTTCATACACATCTTACATAAATGTATAATACTTCAGGGACCCACCCCCTTTATAAGAACCAAGAATTTACCACAAACAAAAAATTTTGGTGTCACATAATCTTAGAAATGCAAACTTGATACATCGCTACATTAGAAAAGTTGTATTTATTCAAACCATATATATATATATATATATATATATATATATATATATATATATATATATATATATATATATATATATATATATATATATATATATATACATATACATATATACATATATATATATATATATATATATATATATATATATATATATATATATATATATATATATATATATATATATATATATATGGTTTGAATAAATACAAATGTCTATACCCTATATATAGCAGAACATTTTTAGACAGTGTTAAACCACATACCACCTGTTCCCAAGTAATAAAACAATAGAGACATGTTAAACCAGATGTTACCCTTTTGTGTGATATGTAATATGTTCACAATCATGGTGTTTAGGTGTTAAAATGTTAAAAGATGTTATATAATTAACTAAATAGTGAAATAAGGTGTTATAATGTTGAATTATGTTTATTTAACTAAGTAGTGAAATCAGTGGCTATAATTCCTTAACCCTTTTGGTACTTATAATTAACAAACAATAGACCTAAGCCTAAGTTTTTTACTACTAAGAATTAACAAACAGTAGACCTAAGTGTTTTGGTACTTACAGTTAACAGTAAGCATTGTGGGCGCTGTAAAGCTCCCACTACCAAGTGAATTCGAGGCTGTACAATTATATCTTCCTGCATCGCTTACAGATACATTCTTGATAATAAGATTAGGTGAGGTGGCGTTAAAACTTTCATAGCGTTCACCACTAACTGTTACTCCATCTTTTGTCCATGTTACAGTTGTTGCTGTATAAACCAAATAAAAATTAGGAGATGCAATTCAATAATTTAAGCCTTCTAAAAATATTGAGCTGGAAGTTATAGATTCTATTAGTATTAGAGGCCTACAGGCCAATAATCATAATAATAACAAAACTTTTTTTATGACTTACAATGCATTCGTATTATAATTATAATCTAAATCTAGTTCTAGAGTAGATCTAGATCTATTTTTAATCTTTAAGTCAAAATCTCAACCTACATTAGATTTAGATCTGGAGTCTAGATCTAGAATCTTAAAGTAAAGATATAGATCTAGAACTAGATTTAGACCACCTAGATTCTAGCCTACACATAATTTTTTCAATTCATTTATCGTCTGTACGGTGATCTTGACTAGCTAGTCCCTAGATTAATTTTATCACTTAAATTAATGACGTCATTTACAAACAACTTATGATGACCTTCGCTTTATGTGGGTTATACTGTGTACCTACTTAGTCTAGTTTTATTATTGGCTATAATGTTTTTAAAAACTTCAGCTCGATCTAAATATTCAAAGTCAAATGTCTAGACATAAAAAAATAGGTCACAAGTGGCGGAGCTAAACTTTTCGCCCGTGCACTTTTTGCATTAGTGGCGGGGCTTATCTGGACAAAAATCCCTGTTCGCACGCCTCCCCCCGTTCCCCGTCCCCCGACCTAGTCGCGTGTGAATAGCTTTTCCCCACAATTTGACCCAGAGGCGTAGCGACCCTTCCCGGCGCCCGGGGACAAACTTTCGATTTGCACCCCCCCCCTCCTCAAGATTTCGATTTGCATCACCCCCCCCCCTCAAATTTTCGATTTGCGCCACTCCTCAAGCTTTCAATTTATTTTTCCAACCCATTTTGGACATATGTCCACCCCCGCCCCCCCCCCCCCCCCTCACTACGCCTCTGATTTAACCCTTTACTTGAGGGAATCACTCAAACAGAGAGAGGAAATAACACAGCATTTAACCCTTTACTAGAGAGAATCACCCACAATAACACACGATTTAACCCTTTACTAGAGAGAATCACCAAAAATGACACACGATTTAACCATTTACAAGAGAGAATCACCCAAAAAAACATACGAGTTAACCCTTTACTAGAGAGAATCATACACAATAACACACGATTTAACCCTTTACAAGAGAGAATCACCCAAAATAACACACGATTTAACCCTTTACAAGATAGAATCACCCAAAATAACACACGATTTAACCCTTTACTAGAGGAAATCACCCAGAGGCATAAAATACGACACGAGTTAACCCTTTACTAGAGAGAATCACCCAAACAAAGGGATGTCTCGATACGATTTAACCCTTTACGAGAGAGAATCACCTAACAAAAATCTCTCACCTGGTGGGTTGGAATTTATGGTGCAGACGATAGTCGCCCTGGTGTTTTCGTTCACAGTCATCGCCAGGCTGCCTGCTGTAGTTGTCGGAGGATCTGGTGAAGGCAACACACACATTTCACAACATAGAGACGTTTTGAGTACGTCAAGAACTTCTTACAGGCATCTCTCCGGGAGGAAGAGGGGGTACTGCCCACACCCTTGTAAGCACACCCACCACCCGCCCCGGACGAAATAGCGAATATATATACTTTTTTTTTACTTATTTTTAATTTTAACATAGGATATGTTAAATCTATAAGAAATCGGCCCAACATAACCCCGTCTACCCACCCACCCACCAACCCACCCACCAAGCCCGTCAACCCACCAACCGACCCACCCACCCACCCACCCAATGACCCACCTATCCACCAACCCACCCACCCATCCACCAACCCACCCACCCACCCACTAACCCACCCACCCATCAACCCACATACCAACCCACATACCAACCCATCCACCCACCAACCCAACAACCCAACAACCCACCCACCAACCCATCCATCCACCCACCAAACCAACAACCCACCCACCAACCCAACAACCCACCCACCAACCCACCAACCCACCAACCCCTTTAACCCACCCACCCACCCATCCAACCACCGACCAACCCAAATACCAACCCACTAACCAACTAACCCACCAACCCACTAACCCACCAACCCCGTCATCCCACCAACCCCGTGAACCAACCAGCCCACCCACCAACTAACCCACCCACCAACCCACGCTCACCCAACTTCCCCAATAACTTACACACGACGTTGATGTTGATGGACGACTGCTTCATGATGTTGTAGTAGTTGTCCATCTGGTGGACGACGTAGCAGGTGAGGGTGAAGGTGCTCTGGGCCGGAAGTGCCGCCGTGTAGGTACTAGTGACCTTGTACACGTAATTGTTGTTGCTCACCACGACGATGTCTGTGTTCTTATTCACGCCCTTGGTCAGCGAGAGGCCGTCGCCATCTCTGATGGAGGGATTCCAAAATATTAATTTGAGATTTCAGACGGACACTATAGACTTAGATATATATATATATATATATATATATATATATATATATATATATATATATATATATATATATATATATATATATATATATATATATATATATATATATATATATATATATATATATATATGTATACATATGTAACAGGAGGACTTACCTCCAGTAGACGTTGGGTGGGATGTAACTAGCACCATCTACCACACATGTCCAGATGTCTACAACGTCGGCTCTGGCGGTCAAGTTCCCTGTGATGTTTGGCGTTTGGGGCACCACTGGTTGGAAAAACAGAAAAGATAATTTTGTTAACATTAGCATTAACCCTAGTGCTATCATACCCTTTTATGTAATAATGCAATAAAAAGGAAAATAAATTAACGATTTTCTTAAAATATATACTAATACACTACTCTTGAAATAACTATAAAGAAAAGCGTGGGTCTCTTCACAAATATTTTTAAAAGAATCTACATATTAAAAATATTTAAAGAGTAGTGTATGATTATATATTTTAAGAAAAATCATTTATTTTCTCCTGTTTAGTGCATTATTACATAAAAGCCTGTTATTAAAATGTTTTTTATGATTTTTTTTTTGTTTGGAAAAAAATAAATCAGTTATTGGCCTAAAAGTTATGATATTAACAATATTAGTGATAAGCAAAGAAATAACTAAATAGCTAAACACAACACCACATTAAATGCACACGGATTAAGAGACTGAAATTATTCCGTTAAAAACCCGGCTGTTCAATGGTATTTATATTTTTTTTAAAGTAATTTGTATTAGTTTTGGCCGAGAAAATTTTATACATTTCATAGCGTACATCTTGGTAAGTAGAACTATAGATCTAGATTTAAATCAAATTTGATCGAAATAGTTCATTTCTTCGTATTCTGAAATTGGAAGATGACGCCATGTGTAATTTCCGTAGTTTAAACATGTGGCATGTGACGTCATTGTTTATTGCGTTCTTGTCACAAAACACTTTTCCGGTTGCATAATCAAAAATTTGTTTCTACATTAGAATACTGCTTCATAGCCTCGGGGCATGCAGACAGAGAAAGAGAGAGAATTGCGCGAATGGGCTATCATATATTAGGATAATGGACTACCATGACGACCGTAAATAAAACATATAGGCTTGTTGTGTGCTGAAATCTAAGCGAACTATATACTGTTTCACTAGAAAATAAGCCAATTTTCGACTTCAGAGAAATTAAACATTAATGAATACAGAGTTTCTTCCAGGCATCTCTCCGGGGGGGACGAAGCCCCCCCCGAAAATTTTTTACCGCCCCCCCGAACGAAATGAAATTTATATAATTTATATAGAAAATATATACTTTTAACAGTGTCCGCCCCCCCGAAGAAAATTTACCGCCCCCCCCGAAGATTTCAAGTGCCCCCCCCCCCCGGAGAAAAAAGTCTGGAAGAAACACTGAATGAATATAGTCAAAAATATCGTTACGAACTGATCAATTTAGTAAGAAGACTTGGCTACAATTCACAAATGTCTGTGATTGCAAAATATACATGTAATAAATACCCAGTACCACACCTAGCCAATAGGGCTGGTAAGTAGGCCACCAACCAGCTCTTTGTCTCATGCAGATTTTATTGAGCTGTAGAACTGGTTGGTGACCTACTTACCAGCCCTATACCCATTAGAGCTGGATTTATATTGTACGGCCCCCACACTAGGCCGAATCAAAAACGTTTTAATTAACTTTCAAACCCTATACCGAAAGACCATAGCATCTCATTAAACTATACTAAGAACTATGAAAAGCATGCAAAACGTGGAGTTTGAACTACTCACAAATGACGGAAACTTGATAGCTTGCAGTTTTTGTATCTGTGCCATCAAAGACTAAGCATATGATTGAAACTTCGTTGTCTAGTGCCGTAGGAGCGAAAGTTAGCTCAGTCCTGTATGTCTGGAAATAACATTGTAAGTTAATTGTTAATTGAGACATAAAGATTGGGAATATGGTCTAAGTTAATTTGTTTTTTTTTTTTTGTGAGGTAATGAAATGTAGATTAAATGAATAGTGTGCGATGATTCTTTAATTGTTCATTCATTCATTTATTCGTTCGTTCGTTCGTTCGTTCGTTCGTTCGTTCGTCCGTCCGTCCGTCCGTCCGTCCGTCCGTCCGTCCGTCCACCCACCCACCCACCCACCCACCCACCGAGTCCAAGAATAGATTATAAAAAATTATGATGTATTCATTTAACAATATGGGATAGAGATCCACCAACACATTTAAGAAAAAAAAAATATCAGAATGAATTTGGATATACTATCATGATCAAACTGGTGTAACTGGCTATAGATGACGGCATGGCACACTACCAGAGTGTGTTACATAATACACAATTTAAAGGCGAACATTACACACATTTGTGTTCGAGTCCCACGGGTAGTTCTGGGCACTTGAACCGACAGGAAGGCCGTTGTCTCGCCTCCAGATGAGCGGGTAGCTGGTCGTGGAGAGTTGAGCAGACGACAGGGTACACGTGAGGGTGGCGTTCTTACCCCCCTCTAGCACCGCATACGGGGAGGAGATGACCGGATCTGACAAACCTGCATGAAGAGAGCAGAAATTTTAGATGACATTTTGGTGGCAGTAATCAGTGATGCTTTCCTGCATCTCTTTTGGAAGAGGTGGGGGGGGGGGGGTAGTGAAGCTTGTCAACTACCACCTGCCGACGAACTAGAAATTTAAATTTAAAAAATTAAATTAAAAATGTGTAATTGGGACAACCCCCCCCCCCCCCAGCCCCGTAAGTAAGTTTCAGAATCCCCTCCCCACACCGAAGCAGAAAGTTTGAACCAAATACTGACAGCAACAATCGATAACACCCATCTTACTTTTTGAGATTTCTTGTAGGTTTTCTTAAAGGTAGAGGCATTAATTTAATATTCAATATGTTAAAAGCTTTCAACTTAATAAAAGGGCAAAATTGTATTATTGTGACAGTAATATACTATGACGTACACACATACATATATTTTAGATGGACCCCCATACCAACATTATTTCAATTTCACAGTTTATTTTAGGCATTTCTTCGGGGTGGTTGGGGAGCAACACTCCCCCTCTACCACCACCGAAGTAAGTCACACCCCCTCCACGAACGAAATAGAAAAAAATATATAATGTATTTAGAAAATGTATACTTTACCCCAAATTAAAGAAGTCCCCCCCCCCCCTCCGTATGTTTCATGTGCACTCCCCCCCCCCCCCCCCCACTATGAAAATATAAAAATATATTACTAATACAAACTCATATATATATATATATATATATATATGTATATATATATATATATATATATATATATATATGACTAATACGCACGTATATTACTATTTAAATACGGATATTGTATTAGTCTAGCTACTGATAAAAGTATACTTACATGAAGACAATGGTAAATACGTTAGTAATAACAGTAACGGTAACAAATAGTGAAAGCTCGTATGGTGGCTTGCTAGTTTGCCTCCCTTTTTCCTCTTTGGCGTGTTTGGGTGATCCTCGTTGTTTTGGTATTTAAACCGAACACATTTTCTTTCGGGTGTCATATTCGTTGACCCTAATATGTCACTTGACATTTTTAATTGTTTTTTTTTTCTGGCAAATATTTGCCCACTTATTTACAGCTGATCTGAAATTTGGAAGACAAAAATGTTTCAAATTAAAAATGTAACATACAAAAATATGAAAGATGTATAGGTCATAGTCTTAATGCGTGAACTTAAAGTAAAAAAAAACGAAGTGAAGAATCCTCTTTAGACTAGCAATCCATTGGGCAGATGAAGTAGAGTCTATATGTTTCTTAACCTCGGTTACATGAAAGGTGTGGTCACCACTTTGCCCAGCCACCTTTACTTTCCCTAACAATAGTTAGGAACCCCACAGAGTTGAGTGGACTCAGGGACATTCTACTGACTTGAACCCGGATTCAAACTCAAGACTTTCGGGTTAGCAGCCTAGTGCTCTACCGCTTAGACCACGCCGTCCCATACTTCGTAAATTTTGTTGGGATCAAAACGACTTATTGTTCTAGACTAATTTACTATTATTAACGAAAAAAATACAAATTCATCACGACTAAATTAATTATACACTATCATGTTTTATACCTTGTATATAATAGAATTACCATTATTTAATTATTGTTTTCATCAAATTAATTATCACCCCTGTGATTGGTCGAACATAAAAATAAAATGCAGGCGGGAGCCAGAATGATAACAATGCTGGTACGGAGGGTGTGGCTCGACCCCGGTTACACCCGCCCTAGTGACGCCACAAGCTGGAGCATAGACTTAACAAACATTCTACGCTTAGCCTTACAAAAAAATGTACTTTTCTTTAATATATAGGCGGAACAACCTCTCAACATTTACGTTCCTACTTGTTAAAGAAAAAAATCGACACAAAGAAATCTTGTTTATTTTTTTAAGTAACGTTACTCAAATTCTTCCAAGGTGTATGTCTTACGATGCGCTGAAAAAATCAATTTGTTTTTTACTTCCGTGTTTATAAGTTGTACCCAAACAACGTCTTTACCTTGTCAAAACGCACATTAGGACGCGCTAAACAATCTTCCCACTCTTCGCCGGCGTTAATTCACGCTTCTTTCATACGGCTAAGTATTTTTCAATGCAGGCTTTTTAGAATAATCGATTTGTTAGAGGCATTGAAAATTGGTATTGATCGGTATCTGTTTTAAGTTATGACATTCCGAGGGTAGGGCGAGTGTGCGTGTATGTGTGTGTGTGTGTGTTTATGTGTGTGTGTTTATGTGTGTGTGTGTGTTTATGTCTGATTTCCCTTGAAAATGATAGTTCTATATGATTTTTTTTTTAAATATGCGATTTAAGTTGTTTTTTTTTTTTCAATACATAATACTTTTTAGCGCAATTTCCATACGGACAATTGCGATTATTAACTCGTTCTGGATGGATGTGTGTCCGATGTGTGTCCGATGTGTGTCCGCAGCTTTAAGTCGTATCTCCTCCTCAAAGAAGCAATATCGAGGACTAGTTCCAAAAGCAAATATGTTAAGCAAGTTCCGAGGATGATTGTGGGCCAAAAAAATTCCGGAATTCCTTCCTGGATTTCCAGGAAAAGCCAAAAAACCTCGAAAAAAATGCAGTTTTGGCCCATATCTCGGCAACTAGACAACTTAGCGACTTGAAACATTTATTAATCGATTCCTGCCATAATTTAGAACAATATTGTCGAAGAAAGTTTTCAAAAATATCCTTTCGTTCGGTCACAAAAAATTAATTAAGGAAATTGCGCTTAAATTGTCACTAGACTTTTTATTATTTTTTAAATTATTCTATTTAAGATCTTTATTTTTTTTTAATATGGGGTTTTCGTCTTTAATGCGAATGAAACACCATCCCTCCACTCCAACAGAGTTTCTTTCAGGCATCTCTGCCGCCACCCCCCCCCCCCCCCCCCAGCCACCCTGAAAAATTAGTCCGGCCTCCCCAGAAAATTTCAAGTCTCCTCCCCGGGCGAAAAAGATCTGTAAGAAACACAACCCTCCACCTTTCACAACACAATAATTGTGTAAGGGGTCATCCATAAATGACGTCACGCTTTTTGACGATTTTTACCTCCCCCCTCCCCTCCGTCACACGTCGTCACAAAAAGCCAGAACCCCCCCCCCCTAAAATGACGTCACACCTCAACCTACAACCCCCCCCCCCTCAAAATTGCAGTTGAATTTTTTTTAAACATCGATATTTTTCTAAAATCTTGTCTAAACTATTACAATTTATTAAAACAGTTATCTAAAACGCGAAATAACGCCTAAAATTCGTTTTCTAACATTGCTTTTTTATAATGCAAAAATGTGACGTTGCCCTATCTGACCCCCCCCCCCCCCCCATCACACATCTTCACTAAATTACGGACCAACCCCCCCCCCCCTCCCCCTCATCACACATCGTCACAAAATTACGGACCCCCCACCCCCCGAGTGTGACGTCATTTATGGATGACCCCCTAAGCAAAACATTGTCTTCTGCACTGCCGACGAAAGAGAAATTTTTTTTGTCAACAATATTACTCTGTTTTCATGTTACAAGTAAAATTTCAATTTTTAAACTTGCCTTAAATTATTCCACCTCTTCTTAATCCACCCCACCCCACCCATCCCTCCTGTATTTGCTATGATCGAAGTTTATCGGCATATTTCTTTGGGACGTTACTAAAAATAAATCTGTTGAGAGCAGTGTTTCTTCCAGACTTTTTTCTCCGGGGGGGCACTTGAAATCTTCGGGGGGGCGGTAAACTTTCTTCGGGGGGGCGGACACTGTTAAAAGTATATATTTTCTATATAAATTATATAAATTTCATTTCGTTCGGGGGGGCGGTAAAAATTTTTCGGGGGGGCTTCGCCCCCCCGAAGAGATGCCTGGAAGAAACTCTGGTTGAGAGTAAAAACAAACAGCGCTAGCAACGAAACAAAAGCTTGGATTTTTAAAAAACTTCGCCCTCGATCGATATGTAATGTTTAGTTCACTGGCGTTAAGCTTGGGTTTAACCTGGGTTTAACCAGTTAAGTATCTGTGAGAGTATTGATTTATGTCTGTTGATGAGTTTAACCTGTGTTTAACCAGTTAAGTATCTGTGAGATTATTAATATCTGTGTGATGATGGGCTTAACCTGGATTTAACTTGTGTTTAACCTAGAAAACATCTATATCGTGGGCTGAAAGTACTGATTGATTTGTGCTAATGGATTTAACCTGGGTTTAACGTGTGTTTAACCAGAAAACGTCTCTACCGTAGGGTGAAAATATCGATTTATTTGTGCTAATGGGTTTAACCTGGGTTTAACTAAAAAAGTGCCTGTCTTAAATCGAGAGTATTGTGCTGTTAGGTTTAACCTGGGTTTAACCAGTGTTTAACCAGAAAACATCTATATCATAGGCTGAAAGTACCGATTAATTTGTGTTGATGGGCTTGTCAGATAACCTCGGCACTGTATACCATACTTATCTCTATCCCCGCTACCATCGATAAGAAATATGTGCCAGGGTTCGCCGAACCCCACCCTAGGACTAAGTTCCGACTGACAAGATTTACGGCTGCACATACTTACGTGGAGAGTAGGGTTAAGTTTTAACCACATGCGTGATAAACATGATTGGGGCAGGACATTACCCCCCCTCCCAGGTCAATTATCCCCTAGTTATTCCACCCCCCATCCCTCCCTCCCGTCATAACCCACAGATCAATTATCACTGTACATCACCTCCGATATAAAACAATTGCAGTAGGTCATTACCCCCGATCCCCGTAAATTATCACCCGGTCAATCACCCCCCCCCCCCCCCAGAGGCGTAGCGACCCTCCCGGGGACAAATTGACAAATTTTCAAATTTTCGATTTGAACCCCCCCCCCCCCCTCAAACTTTCGTTTTGCACCCCCCCCCCCCGTCAAGTTTTTTCTCTATATATTTTGCTATTTTTTGCCTTGGTGTCACCCCCCTAAATGGTGTCACCCGGTGCGGTCCGCACCCCCCGCCCCCCTCACTACGCCTCTGGGTAGGAGTCAAAAGCAATAAATAAACTCCAGAAAAGAAACTCCCTTTTTAAAATACTGTTTATCTTGGTGACCTTCACCATGTTATCCAACATGAAAGAAGTCACAGCTGCCAATCCATCCAGTACGCTCGTATAGATTTAGCTCAAACAGAACTGTACGATACTTTGTCACGTTTCGCCGAATAGCGTTTCGCCGACAACTTATCTCGACCCAATCAACCAAGTGTTGCTTTTTTTTAGCGCAATTTCCTTACTGGACAATTGCGATTATTAACTCGTTATTTCTGGATGGATGGATGGATGTGCGCAGCTTTAAGTCGTATCTTCTCCTCACCGAAGCAATATCGAGGACTAGTTCCAAAAGCAAATTTGTTAAGTAAGTTCCGAGGATGATTGTGGGCCAAAAAAATTCCGGAATTCCTTCCTGGATTTCCCGGAAAAGCCAAAAAACCTCGAAAAAATGCAGTTTTTTGCCCATATCTCGGCAACCAGACCACTTAGCGACTTGCAACATTTACCAATCGATTTCTGCCATAATTTAAAACAATATTGCCGAAGAAAGTTTTCAAAAATATTCTTTCGTTTGGTCACAAAAAATTAATTAAGGAAATTGCGCTTAAATTGTCACTAGACTTTTTATTAACTTGTTTGTTCTTAATACGCCATAACATCAAACCCGAATCCAAATTTCTAGAACTGATATAGATATTCTACCCTTTTTATTAACACCACTTCTAACCCTAACTCTACACAATACAGTATAACCAAAACCTAACACAAATTTTAGTAATAACCGAATAAAGTTATGTGAATATACTACAACCACGGCTTCAAACTTAATCTTATTTTTATTTTTTTATGGAATAGGAGTAGGAGAATAAACAACAGCCTACCATAAAGTTCCTGTCTAAAAAAGGTATATCGTTAGCTGAAGGTTATATGGCCAAACTTCCACATGCAATAAATTTACACTTTTAAAAAAACCAACCAAACGGGTTCTAAACGCTTTGGCACCAAACAAAGACATGTCATCGCCTGTCTGACTTAAGCAGTAACACCATAACGTTGATTTTTCAAAAAAATTAATTCTAC